GGGTTCATCCACAACAGACGCTCGCCTTGCCCCAGGGGTTTTCTTTCAAGTTTTTACTTGTTTATTGCTCAGCAATTAAGCTTTCACCGTGGGTTTTACCCAAAGCAGTTGCTCAATACGCTCCGAAAAATTTCTATTCTCCCCTAGGCATTTGAACTACCACCATGGGGTTTACCCATTGTAGCCGTTCGACATGCCCCAAAGAGTTCTCTTTATTGCTAAAAATTTTTTATTACTCTTTCTCATTTAAGCCTCCACCATGGGGTTTACCCACAGCAGACGCCTGAAATTACATGAGGATTTTTTTAATTCCTCCCAGGCTCTCGAGCCACAATCATGAAGTTCACCCACAGCAGCTGCTCATCACGCCCCGAGTAATTTCTATTCTCCTCTTTATTTAATATTTTTTAATATATATTTAACATTATTTAATAAGCCACCACCATGGGGTTCATCAACAGCAGACGCTCGATATGCCTCGAGGAATATTGTTGTGTTTTCTAATTATCTCTTTAGCAAACAAGCCTCCACCGCGGAATCCATCCCCACATAACGGACACTCAATACGCCTCATGGGTTCTCGAATGCATGTACAAATTGATCTGAATAGACATGAATACTTGGTTTAACTATTTAACATACATGAGATGTGTTGGATGTATACAAAAATTACTCACACAAAGAAACAATGGAACTCAGAGTTGTTCCTTTGTTAAAAAAACTATAAACACCAGATGAACTCTATCACAAACTCTATTACATTGATGATGGTAAAGGTTACCGAAAACAGCTTTTATGTTAATGTATATTAGAAATGCAGTCTAAAATAATTTGAAATTTTTGTTATTAATTTGAATAATATCGATAAAATAAGATTTTGAAAAATTTAAAAACTTAGTTACAAACTCAACATTGCGGAAAATGCGGTGATATTTCTTATTAACTATATATATATATGTATATATATATATATATGTATATATTTATATATATATACATATATATATATATACATATACATATATATATATATATATCAGTCTATTCAGTCTAATTATTTCAACCATGTCCTCTGTTAATGCATATGTTTCCCGTTATATACTTTATATTTATTCAATTTTAAGATGGTTTATTAATACTTAAATAATTTAATTAATCTTATTTTTTCTTATTTATAGAACTATTGTTATTTCATTGTGAAATATGAACATTTCTTTACTATTTATAATTTTTGGTGTAAATTTTATGGTGGCCCAACAAGTCATATCTTTGGGTCTCCTAGCTTTTTGCTGAATAAACTCATTATTGAATTGAATATATATATATATATATATGTATGTATATATATATATATATATATATATATATTTCGGAATCGAAATATGGCCTTATTTGCAGCAAGAATTCGGAAAATAAGTTTATTTTGAATTTTAATAAACTAAACGTTGTTATGTTTAATCCGATGCTGGTCATCTTGTTATTAAAAAGATGAATGACAATATAACAAGCTAAAGCTCAAAGTTAAAACCTTTAATAAAAATCTAAGAAAGTATTATTTTACAAATCGAGTCGTTAGATTGTGGAATGACCTTCCAAAAGAGGTGGTGTGCTCTCGTGACCTTGCGGAATTTACGAAGAATGTGGACAATCATTGGTTTAACATCCCTTGGAAATTTGAATATGATTGTTATAAATGGTAAACAGTAAATGTTTGTTGGACGTTATATGTTTGTTTAATATATTATTCAACAATTGCAGAATGATTGCCATTAACTTCATTATTTTGTCTGTGGTTATTTATTATAATTAACAAAATACTGTATATTTTTATTTTAATATATATTATGATACCGTTATTTCAATGAAGTTTACTTTTATTTATTGTTTTATCTATTTATACGGTTATATATCTATTTGTTACACTTCATGTTACGGTTGTATATTGTATGTATGATGTGAGTGATGGGGTGTACAGTGTACACATATGTATTTGTGATGGTTTATTTTATTATAGAGTTTCTATTTAGGTATATTTATTTACTATTTATTTAATTTCATGTGTAAGTATTTGTGACTAATTTGTGTATAGACGAGAATGTGTATAAGCAAATGAGTGTTTGGATGTATGTGTGAACTAAATATATTTATATCGTCAGGTTAATATATAGTTATTGACATTTAGTGGTTATCACTATACTTTGTGTAACATTTTTAATGAACATGAAAGTATTTATAAGTGTTTACGGTGTGTATAGACGTCTGGGTAGGTGTGCTTGATTATGATTATTTATTATCAGTATTGTTTTACTATATGTATGCATGTATTATACATGTATGTGTGTAGGTGTGGTTTATGTATGATAGTATGTATGTGTAACGTATATCTTTATTTTATTTAGATGTATATATAGGTATAAATATATATAAGTATATATGTGCGAGTGTGTGTGTGTTTATTTCTGTTTTTGAAAAGTCATCATATATGAGGATGTTAAAATAACATTTTATTTCATTTATATATCGGCATATGTTCTTCGCGCCCATTATTTCTTTATGTTCTTATGTTCTATGTTCTTATTACTTAACATAATAGTTTTGACGTTCATATTATTTTCCTCTTTTTTTTCTTTTACTGAAGTGACACAGTGACCTTTACAAGTTATTTTTCTTATTTGGTCTTCGAAGACCATTAATTGCTATTTTTTATTGTTCAGTTTTTTGGTTTTGAATAAATAAATAAACAAAGAAAAAATAAAAAAACATTGAGGTTGTGGCTTATGAAGTCATGTGTTGATTGCAACTCCAATAACACGCCAAACTCTTGACAACAACACAAAAATAATTTATAAAAACACCAACGCAATACATCTAAAAATTGCAGAGCTGTCTTATTAGATATCAGTAAACCCTAAATAAACACCCAACAAAGAATGATAACAACGAAGAAAAAAAGAAAGACAACAACAAAGATAAAGAATACGATACCAGCTAATAAACTTTGCAGAAGAACTTTGCATTGTTTAAAGAAACTGTATAAACCAAACATGCACTGAAGATGATTTATGAAAAATCGAAATGAGGCATTATCTGCGTGATGAATTCGGATAACAATAGTTTTATTAAATTTTCATGATAAACTTGGATAATTCTATTTTCAACAAATTGAACATTTTCTATATAATTCTAGTAAGGAAAATTGAAAAGACAAACTTTAAATTGATTAATGTCAACAATTCTGTAGGATTCATACAATACTGTACATATACTGTATATGTATATATACAAAACATATTGTATATTATATATATATATATATATATATATATATATATATATATATATATATATATATATATTATCACAAACACTTACACAGATAATAAACATAAAAATTTATCAACTTTATATAAATTAACTATTTATGATGACAAATGTATATATCATTTTTATAATTTTGAATATCATATTTTTATATATTAACTTTTATAGTACATCATTAATACAAAAACAACAAAATGATTTCAAACTAAAACAATTTTGTTTGTTACTCTAAGCCCATCCAAGTGATGTTAATATCTTGACGACTTTGAACTAATGGCCTATAAACACACATCAAAAGCTGGGTCTATTAAATGACAGATTGTTACAAAACATTGCATTGTGTGCGCGCGCGCGTGGGTGTGTGTGTGTGGTATGTGTGTGGTTGTAACCAAACACCAACCTCTAACAAAATCAACCTGAAAAAAGTATTATTGCAAAAAACATTCCGCACATAATTTCTCAGATAAAACATTCTGATCTGACAAAAACCTTTAAACAAAAAACCTCAAAAAATTTTGTTTGTCATTCATAAAAAAAAATTCAACGTATTATTTTCTATAATTGGGCAAAAGTGTCATTGGGCGAATATTCCAATGAACGAGCAGAATAGCCAAAAATTTATTATTTGTTTTTGGGCGAAAATACAATCGGACAAATCTTCCATCTTTCGGGGAATCATCGTTCGTGCGAAAAGTACATCGTGCGAAAAGCTCCAGTTACCCACGTTTTTGTCCGTTACTACTTATTCATCAGCATATTTCTTAACACATTTAAAAAAATATATATTTAAAATGTGAAACTAAATAAAGTTATAACAGTGTTAAAATGAAATGAGCTAAAAGGATTCAGAAGCAGATTCTTAAAAACTGGATATATGTGATAGTGCAAACCAAAGATGGTGCAAATTGTGTGCATTTAGTTGTTTTTATTATATTTTTTGACTTAGTGGACTACTTAAAATGTTTTGGATTAATAACAATATTTCTAAAAATACAATTCTTTCAACTGTTAACTTCAGCGGTGATTGTGTTATATTGTAGTAATAAACTACCACGCATAATTATTGGTGTTAATATTATTATTGTTGAAGAATTATACGGCGCTCTTTATTACAACTCAAAGGCATAATCTGAGTAATACTACTTATTAACATAATTTAAATGCTCTCGATCCAAACAAGCAACACTGTTTTTTTCACAATTTTAATAGATATGTGCATTGATAAAAATATCTATATATTTTTGCACAAAAAATAAATTTTAACGCCGCAGCAATCATTACTTTAAATTTGCCTAAAACTGTTTTTGTCAGGGCTGTTCAATATTATAAAAATAAGATAAATCAATAATTGTTTTCCAATAGTTTGAAAATGTGGATGAATGTTTTGTTCATTGGTCAAAAGCCCTTTTCCTCATTGAACACCGTCATTTTAAAAAAGAAATATTAAAAAAGTAAAATTGATAACTGTAGTATTGCTAAGATTACCATTCTTCGTCAAACTATTATTAAGAAACAAAGCAAATGTTCAAAAAAAGAGTTAAAAAATGTTATATATCTCGGATTAAAAAGTTTAACCAAATATATGATACTGAAAGCAATGATTTGAATTTTAAGTTATTATACACAAACAAAATTTTCATAAATAACATTTTAATATTGTTGCTGCAAAATATACAAACCAATTCAACTCGGCCAAATCCGCCAACTCCAATTACTGCTTTCACTTTTAAATCGCTCAGCTGAACAGAAGAAAATTCGTTTGAAAGACTCCTGAACCGAAATAAAAATAATTGCTTTTAATTACATCAATAATTTTATGTGTAAAAATGTGTGTGTCAGTATTTATATATTATATATCATTATTATCTTATTCACCGAAAGGTTTAAATATGTTTAAAAATGCGCTGTTGAACAAATAACATTTCAAGTTCCGTCTGAAATTTTTACTGAAACAATCTGATTTAATCTTATTAGAAGATCACTCCATTTTTGGACAGAACAACCTGCCCGCCTCGGCCACCCAATTTTTTCCTGGTTTTAGATGTTACCATCTTTCTGACTAAATCGAACAAAACCTCGCTCTAAAGGTGTGGACACTCATCATCATGCACGCAACCATGGGCCACTACTGCGATCTTAAATCCTATTAGTAACCAACCACTATGTAAAGAGAGCACGTCTACTCAGACCAATTTTGCAGCAGCATTGTAGACTTGTTGAACTTTATTCACCAATCCTATACCAGCACCATACAACATCAAATTGCAGTGGTCCAATCTAGGCAGTAAAACGTCATCATAAATCTGACCTGGTAAACCAGACACATATACAAGAAATAATATTGGACCAAACACTAATACACTCGTTTGCACCTCTATCTCATCATAGTATTTGCGATAAACCTTAGTGGATTGTTATTCGGAAAGCAATAGTGTCTGAACGTTAATTCGGTAGTTTATGAACATTATCTTTTATTAGTAAAATAAATTAACGTTGATTGTTGATTAATTAATTAATTATGCAATTAACTATTGCTTTGTAAATAAATAAATAAATCGATAATTCGGAAGTTATGTTGTCTTAATTTTTCACTGGGATTAAACGAACTCGTCGTCAACCCGGCCAGTTATAACAAAGCATATGATTAACGTACACAATGATATAAAAGATATATCAAGGTTTGATGTTACCGATGGATGACGCATACGTAGACTATCTAAGAATGGAAACGTTTGCTAATTGATGCTCCATTTATGGAGATGTGATCGGTATCAACGTTTTTTCGCAAAAAAAGTGGAACGAAACATTGTCGAAGGAATCTTATGAATCATTGAAACAGCTGAATGTTTCGCTTCTCAATAAAGCTAGATTGATGGCAGTCAAAAGGGTTTTAGGTTCGGCCAGGTTAAGGGCGTTACCAAACACCGCTTGCGGCACCAGACTCGATAACCCTTCAGTTAGAACAAGTCTGTGCCTAAGATTTGGTCTAGAATACAAATGTTTGTGTGGTGTAGATGTTTCTCTGTTGGGATACCATGGTCTTTCTTGCAAGTTAAGTTCTGGCAAACAGGCAGGCTCTCGGCTATGAAAAATTATTTGTTTAGATTGTTTCAAATAGCCAATATACCTGCCGTTAAAGAACCAGCAGGCCTGATTTCGGAAAGTAATGCCAGACCTGACGGGTATACTCTTATCCCATGGTTTGAAGGTCGTTGTCTGACACGGGACGTGACATTTCCCCAAGGCTGGCTGAGAGGTACATCGGCTATACATTGGTATAACCCGGTTCCGCCGCGACAAAAGCAGCCGATTTAAAAAATTCAAGTAAAGTGTTCAATGACGGCAAATCGCTCTCTTTGTCCCGGTTTGTGTCGAAACATTTGAACCAACTGATAAGGTCATCCCCCATTTTCTGGACAATATAAGTTCTAAAATAATTGACAATGCAAAATATTTCTCTATTATTACAAAAATTTTATTCTTTCTGTATTTTAGAAAATATTGCTAAATGTCCGGCCGTACGAGACTGAAACCAAGATTAATTAGCGAGTTGGGGATCAAATGAGTTTTAAATCTGAATAGCACAAATAATTAACGAGTTTATATATATGTCTGTGTGTGCATGTGTGTGCATGTGTGTGTGTGTGTGTGTGTGTGTGTGTGTGTGTGTGTGTGTGTGTGTGTGTGTGTGTGTGTGTGGACATAATGCTTCAATATTTTATTATATATTTTGTTGTTATTGTTATATTATTATTATTGTTGTTGTGATTTTTTGCTTATGAAGCGTAGAAAAAAAATAACATTTTTTAATTAAGGAGTTTTTTTCAATTATGATTCTCTATATGGCAAAATTGGTGAATATATATATATCATTGAACAAATATTAAATGTTACTGCAATGCACATAAAAAAGCGTTCAAAACGTTCAGCTTAACTTAACAGAAAGTTGAAACGAGATATTTTAATTAGTGCAGTAAAAATAAAAAATGTGGAATGCATGCAATCAGAAAAAATAGTTTGGCCATAAAAATATTAATTAGCCAGTTAGAAACTAAAAGTTTTTTATTCAGCCGTACAAAACAGTACACCGAGATAAATATAAATAATTTCGTAAACATTTTTATAAAACTTCGTGAAATTTTAAATACAATTTCGTAAATTCCTTTATAATTTCATGAAAACATTCACATAAATTAGTAAAAAATATTTTCATATGATTTCGTGAATTTTTTTTATTTAATTTCGTAAAAATTTGCATATAACCGTGTCGTATAGTTTTGGTATAATTTTTAAACATTTAAAAACCTTAACCCAACCCTGTTTCAACGATCAATCACAGGTAAATAGGTTTTCTTCAAAGCTCGTGATTTAGGTTATCAATATAAACTCAATTGAAAATTTGTATAGTTTTGGTATAATTTTTAAACATTTAACTTTGAAACAACGAGGATTTTATTCAAACTGCTTCTGCCAACTTTTTAACCAACCAGTTGTTGCCATGAAATTTTCACAGTCGACGCCATCTACAGCAGTGGCAACAGTTTTTTCCTAACAATTGATGTTTAAAAAAATAAAGGAACAAATCACAAGTAAACAACAATAGATTTTTCTAATTTATGTACGCGACGCACCAAACAAATTTGAATTTTATTTTTTAATAGTTGGTAAAGATAAAGAGAAGGTAGTGAGAAAATCTTAATTCTAACTTTCACCCATCGTCCACTAACTGGTAGATTCTTTGATCTAGCTTCTGAAAACCATTCAAACAGTTAAATATTAATTTTTTCGACTTAAGTTTTTCGCCTTTTCAGCGTTTTGTTATCAGCGGGGACTCTTACTTCCTATTGCCGTTTAATTGTTTCTTTGTTTTTGTGAAAATTGTGCCAAATTGCCAATTTGTGTTATTCAGCATTAAAACTCCTGTGCAATCTTTTTAATGTTATTTCTATTATTTTATCTCTGTAAAATAATATTTTATCTTTCGGGGTCAAAATTCTTTTGACTTGCAATGCCATTTTCGATGATGAACAACTTACTAACAGAGAAAGTAACAAGATCACGATAAATAAAGCAAAAAGAAACTGTTTGAAAAGCGAACCAAAGATTAATAATGCCTTGTTAGTGCATTTGTGTAAAATTTTAAAAAATATTTGGTTATAAATTGTCCGCTTTTTATGACTTAAAAGTCATTTTGTAACAAAAAGCCTGTCCGTGTGTCGTTACTTCAAAAAGTCCGCTCTTTACTGGCAATTTAATATGTAAAACAGTTCCATGCCGACCAATACAATCCGTAACTCTTCACTGTCCGCTTTTTAGAATCTCGCTCTCAAAAACTATACAAAATTATTTAATAATTTTTACAAAGTTATTTAAAATATTTTTTCGAATATTAAAATAAAATATCAGTCGAATAACCAATAACGCAAATCTCCGAGTCTGCAGGAATGCAACCAGTGCGTCGCGTGAATTTTTTATCAAACACTTGGGCACTTTTCATGTAAATCTTCAAAAAGTTTACTTTAGCTTTCAGCGTTTAAGTACGTTCATTTTAATTTCTAGCATTCTGAAACGCTGGAGCATGTACTTTTATTTGTACTATCCACCATTAGTTACTGTTATATGCTGCCTATGCAATATCAAATAGTGCAAGTTTATGCATTAGAGAACGCAATAAAAATTTTTGAAAATTTATAAACTAAAGAAATCAAAATAATTTTTTTATTTTTTGACATTGTAAAATTTGTTTGTTCGTAAATTCACGTGCTTGATTTCATAACGTCCACTTTATACATATGACTTTTGGATAAAAGTATACTCTTATATCTGCTGCATTAGCCGAAATGCCGTTTACAAGTTGCGCTATATAATTAATCATTATTATTTTGATTTCATAATTCTACGTTTCTATTATTTTATTCATTAGAATCGGACATCTATGTAGCACGCGATTGTACAGTTGTCGTATATAAGCACAACGCGAGTTGAAGAGGTTGGAGTTGCAGGATTATGGAGCTGCGCTGTGAATTATTGGCGATCGTGCAACAACGAGCGTATTTCTGGGATTAGCAAATGATTCAGTGTTTATATTACATTCAAATAAAAGTCAGTTTGTGTCTGAAACAGTTGTGCTTATCTATTAACAATCAGTGAATCTAAGGAAGATCGAATAACTTGACGATCATGCATGTTACAACATTATTTTGACTGTCTGGTCAACTATCCTGCTACGATATCCATTCTGAAACGAATATGGCGAGATAATAAAAGGCGAAGCGAGACCAGAACTGAGCTCCGATGCAACTCAATTTTTTTCCGAAATTTCCCAAAGAAAAATGAATTAATGATCAAATTCACGGCATTTTGACATACAGACAATCATTATAAATAAGAATTGTTGAAGGCTGGAAAATATTTTTTGTAGTTGGATTTTTAGCTTGCCGGTAATCATAAATTAATTAAAAAAAATTTTGTCAACCAAACTATCAAAATCTCACAACGTTTTTAATTAACAAATTAAATTAAAATACAATTATTAAAATTTGAAAATTGTCAATTTGAGAATTGATCAACTTACTTTTGTTGGGGTTCTTCAGCTTCCACAATATCCAATGTCGAAGGTTTCAAATATCCGGACCTGCCAATCAACTGCTTATAAGCTCTGGAAAAATCATTTTTAAAACAATGTGGCCTAATAAATAACATACGAGAATAATTTCGTATGAGTCAAAATTTAATATGAGATTATTTGATTTTTTAAGTAATTAAATATTTTAAGCATTACAAATTTGACAAAATCAATTTTTTAATTTGTCATATATTATTTTAAATATAAAATAAACTTAAAATAAACGTGGTTTTTTACTAGAATATATATATATATATACATATGTGTGTGAGTGTATGTGTTTGTTTGTGTGTGTGTGTTTGTGTGCATGTGTGTGTTTGTGCATGTATGGAAGTCGTAGAGGGGCTTCACACGGTTAGAATGAATATATTTATGAATATTAGCAGGTTGATTGACGGAACGTTTGTCACTGTGTTCGTAACTTAATTAGCAAGCACTGCCGCTTATTCAGTCTTCTATATTATATTATTTATCTCAGTGCTTACACGATGTTTGATTTTTTACAAAAAATATTATGATAGAGGTTTTGAAAAAAAATTACTTTTCTAATAAATTCTTCCTTTAAAAATATTTGTAAGTTGTCATTTCAACAAACGAACGGGTGTGAATTTTATTGTTCGTCTGAATAATTAACAAGAACGCATAACGATAATACTGTTTGACGGCAATGTAACATTTGAGCATGCAGCAATAAAGATACATCAACATTCCCGAACAAAAATATCGTCATCATTACTGGAAACTTACACTCGTTCCAGAACTAAACATGTCACTCCTGTTCCTCCCCATGCAACGATATTGGCTGATCTCTTTTCTTCTCTAAACAATGGTTAAAATAATTTGATTGAATAACTGAATAATCTTCAATTTTAAACATAACAAAAAATTTTTATGCAATTTAAAAAGTGTTTCGTTCATGAGAATTTGTTAATAATATTAAAAATTATCTTAAACGTACTGCCATTAGAACTTTAATTTTTCAAATCAAAACGCACATTAAATCAAATTAATTTTAAAGATGAGTAAATTGATTCTATATCAATTGTTTTAGACAATGGAGAAATACTATCGGCAAAATTTGGTTTTTCTTTCATCTAGTAATAATATCATTATTTTAATTAACTATCCTATTCTCAATGACTCTTGATAGAAAATGCATAAAAAAATTAGGCAGAACCTGAAATTATTTTGTAATTGGATTTTGGAATTGACTTGGTTTGGAAAAAAGAACTGTTGTAACTCTAAAAATATGGGATTGTTAGAAAAAATTATTAAGGTATTAAGGAGACTTTACAAATATTCAAGAATGGCAGTAATCGGTGCAAATCGGTGAAGAATGGATTAAAGCAAAAGTTGGAAGTCGACAATGTGATCCATTATTAACAATACTGCTCACATATTGAATAAAAAAATAGAAAATGGAATAAAGCAATAAAAAGATTAAAAACCTCATTAATAATTTTGACTCTCACAAATCTGAAACATTGCTTGTTGAAATACGTTAACACCTGTAAAAGTTGTCTCTTGAGGAATCTACGCTAATAATTTCGATCACTATCAAGTTACTCGGCGTGACGTTTGACAAATTGTTAAACTTCGACAAACACATACCGGAAATCATCAAAATTTGCAACTACCACTTCTGTGCAATGAAACATATTAGAAATATGATTACCTCGGGTGTTGACGGTGCTCTTGGCAGAGGTCTGGTTCTTTGTACTGTAACTCCTTTCTATACAGGGCCTTACGCACATCTATCAGGGGGCTGCAGACTATCCAGAATAAAACCGCTTGACTGATAAACTTTCTCGTTTCAGCTCTCCCATACTCTTTCCAATGGCTTTCCATCTCTGCTCAAAATTGAAGTTCTAACTTTCAAAATATTGTCATAAAAATCCTCAGTTTACCTTTACGGTCTCATACTATGCCACGAACATGCCAGACTGATCCACGCATCTTCTTCGGATTTTTTTAACATTCTTATTGCCAAATACCATCTCGTTAGACACGGCATTCCCCACTCAGCTCCAAGTGTCTGGAATGCGTTACTTCATGAATTGAGACAATGATCTTCGTTGAGCGTTTTTAAAAAGGTCTAATGACCCATTGACTAATTAAATGCCTTGATGAATTTGGCATTGAAAAATCTCACATAAACTTTGAATAAGATATTGTTGTAACCTATGCCGCTCGTTACTACAAACATCAATGTTATAACTTTAATGATCTCTAAATTTTCAACACCAGTGTTGTAGCTTCTGTAGTCTACTCTACGCAAAAGCGATTACTACCAATTTTCTTCTTAACTAGGACGACTGAAGGTGTCTTGCTTTTGCAACGTGGAAATCATCTCATTAGCTTACACCTCTTTGACAGGATAAAGCGCTGTGGAACTTGTCTGATGGGTATGCAATCTTGAGTGTCTATACTGTGAGATACTAAGCCTGTTCTTCCTTGGTCGTTGTCGCCAGTCGAGAATATATCCGAATTGGCCAACAGTGTTCCGCCTTCCTACGCTCTTCCTCGGCGAGAAGTGCCTTGTTCAATGGGTTGTGTTTGAGACTTTGGACGTTCTTGTAATTACTTTTCTCATTACCATTCCATAGTTCCACGTCAAGGCTTTTTATATTATTTATTGGTTAGGCGCTGCCAATCACTCTGCCATTTTTTATTTTTATTGGGTTTTCCGCTGCCAATCACTCTGCCATTTTTTATTTTTATTGGGTTTTCCGATACATTCATTACTTGGATCAAAATTCTGCCGACTTCGTTAACCTCTACCAGATATTTCCCAACAATGATATTTGGTATTTCGGACGTCTGAATAGGTTTCACTAGAACAATTTGTCGGCTGTTAAATTCACCGTTTTTCAGTTTTGCCCAAATGATGTTTTTCAGGCAAATTTGCTACTACCATATCACCATCGAAATTTACCTGGGTACATATTGGCTGACTGTTTCCCATCACCATTGGGTGGAAGTCGTATTCCATCATCAAATCGATGCCTAAAATGCATTTTTAAGTAATGTTTGCCACCAGAAACGTGCCCTTAAATTCCAGATCTCTCATCTCTACCGTGCAAGATACTTCCTTGTACACAGGCGCCGTTCCTCCAGTGGCAGTTCGAAGAAGGTACTTGCAAGATATTTTTTGTTTTAGATCCATTGACATATATTATCTAAGAATAGATCTAGTTGCTTCTATAGCGATGGAAATTAAACATTGGCATAGATCTATCCTTCCTTCCACCCAAATGTCATCTCGATCACGAGAAAGACTTGGAACATGAATAAAACTGCAGGCTCGTTTGTTTTCCATTTCCCAGCCAACTTTAGTCCTTCAAAATTGGCTTTCACTATTTTGTCTGACGTGTTAGCTGCAGACGCTCCAAACATGAGGATTGTATCTTTTCAAAAGTCGTTGTTTTCTGTATCGTTCTTTCGATATGCGTTATTTTTCTGGGGCCTCTTACAATACTTACTGATGTGCCTTTCATCCACAGATTCTGATGGTTTTTAGTCTCTCGTTGTTGAGACAATTTTTCGACACTCATTCTCTTTGTGGATTTGCCGTATTTTTGTGTTTTTCTTCAACATCAGTTTTGCATATTCTAATTTCATATACAACTCTAGGATTCTTTTAAGTGTTTTTATTTTTAATATTGTAAAATCATATCTCATATCTGGGTCTTGTAGGATTTGAATAAACGCTTCATATACAACTCTAAGATTCTTTTAAGTGTTTTTATTTTTAATATTGTAAAATCATATCTCATGTCTGGGTCTTGTAGGATTTGAATAAACGCTTTTGTTGGCGTTCTGTCCCAGAATTGTAGGGTACCTGTTGGGTGCGCTAGCAGGGTCAGTCTTATTATGTCTTGTGCTAGTTGTTGAGCAATTTTCCCTGTTTCTGCCTATGGCGGTCAAACTGCGTTAAGTGAATATTTGTTTCTATAGCGTCGGTCTAACACGTCGGTTAGAAGTTTGAAGTTGTCACGTTCCTTGGCAGGAATAGAATGTAATACCTTCAAAGCGGAGCCTTTCAGTGCTAACACCAATGGCGTCCCCGTTCTCTCGCGCTTCACTCCATGCTAAGTGCTTCTGCTTCAAACTGAGTTTGATAGCTCTCCCAGGGCTTGGAAGCAAAATCAGATTTTAAATTTCAAATGTCCAAAGTGGTTTTGTCAAAGATTGTTGCACAAAAAACGCTAACTTTATGCTACGAATGATCAGTGAACCTGCGATTGATTTAAAGAAAGACTTGTTGATAGGTTTTTTCAATTAGTCCAAAGCTTCTGATAGCGTGAAACACTTAGACCTTGTGAAAATATTGGAAAATTTGGGCGTTGATGGAAAAGACACGAGAATTATCAAAAACCTTTATTGTGACCGAAGAGCAGCGATGAAAGTTTGTAACAAGATGACTATCTTTATTTTTGTCGAAATAAAGAAAAGTGTTAGGCAGGGTTAGGGTTAGGGTTAGGGTTAGTGTTAGGCAGGGCTGTGTATTCTCTTCAGAATTGTACAATCTTTATAGTGAAATCATTATGCTGAAGATAGAAGATCTACTTGGAATATCCATAGGAAGTGTGAATATAAACAATGTAAGATATGCTGATGATACAGCTCTTATAGCGGAATCAATAGAAAAACTACAAACAATCGTTTCCAAACTAGATTTTGAAAATGAAAGAAAAGACTTGCAAATTAACATCAGTAAAACAAAATGCATGATTATCAATAAAAATAAAACCGCTTCGATATGTTCCATAATTATTAACGGTAAACAGGTGAAACAAGTCAACAGCTTCAATTTTCTCGTACGTCTGATTCAGCGCTATATAAATGCTCATATTATTATTATTATATTTACCATTATTATTATAATGTTAATAATAATAATAATTTTTATTATTATTATTGTTGTTGTTATTATTATTACTATTATTATTGATAACTGCAGTTGATATTCAAGATAGAACTGTTAAAGATCTCGAGTTAGCTGATGATATTGATCTTTTAGTCACCAGTCTAGATGGTTTACGGAAGTTTATAGAGACGACACATGATGCTTTGAAATTACTGATTGCATATCAACAAAAACAAAACAAAATTGATCATTTTGAACCAAAAGTGTAGATGGTTAAAAATTTAATATCTAATTGGAAAATCACAAATAAGTTGACCAGCTTGAGTATTTTGATAGTTTTATAAATCATATAAACCAGCAACATCAATAGCTTAAAAAATAGACGAAGAGTTGCTCGTTGCTGCTATATAAGCACAATATTTTTATTGCTCTATTTAAGCAATCTTAATTTGAAATGGAATGCCATAAAAATTTGTCGGTAATTGGCTGGAAACAAAAATTGAGAAACGAAATCACAAAAAAATCATAAAATTGAAACTTTCGGAAACGCTAAATGATGAATTAACATTTTCCCTACAAATGATGAATAGAAACTATTAAAACTGAATTAATAGCAAATGAATGGGTAAATGCCTTGAATTCAACAAAACTGGCCAAAAAGAAAAGGGTGTAAGAAACTGAAAATATCGTGGACTCTATTGGCCTCAACTGCGTCTTAAAAGTTAAAAAAAATCATTTATTGATTAATTGATTGATTGATTGGTTGGTTGGTTGATTGGTTGGTTGATTGATTGATTGATTGATTGATTGATTGATTGATTGATTGATTGATTGATTGTACATATTATTTATATTGTATTGTATTTGTGTTTGGTGGTGTGTAGAGCGCCTTTTATGATGAACCTCAGCGGCACTGGTTTCGCTGTGGACTGATGCATAAAATTAAGCGAGCTAACGTCCATTGGCCAGATAAACGCAGAAAATATGCTTTGCATAATTTTGAAAAAAAACTAAATAAGAAACTTTTGTTCAAAGTTTTTAGTCTTATTCTTCGAAAAGTTCATTTATTATTAAATCGTTTAATAGTGTATTTTTTAATTTAAATTTTTTGAATTTTTTATTAAAAAATTCAATTTAATTGAGGTTTTTGAACATGGCGAATAAATAGGTAGGTAACAAGCCATAGAAATACTTGCGAACGTGTCGACACTAATTCCTGTGAAGCTTGCAGCACTTATACCTGAAACTCTTTTTGACAATCGCATTAAGAAAAGATTGTTTTTATCCGCCTTCATATAAAATATTTCAAAAATATAAACATTTTTTGTAACAAGTATATGCATTCTCATTGTGAGTTGCTGTTTTTGATTTCATTTAAATTAATGCTTCACGTTATTTTTCAATAATTTTGAAAACAATTGAAAATTTACAGCTAAAAATATTTAGTAATAATCAAAAATAAGAATAGAAAAAATAATCCGAAACATAACAGAAAGAAAATTATGATAAAGAATTAACGTTTCAAGAGCCAGTTCCCCAAAAAATTGTCCTTTACTGAGCATGCAGACAAAAATTTCATCAGCGGAATTCGGGCAGTCTTTAGTTACTTTAACCTGGTGATCAAACAAGTAAAAATGAAAGATCGCTTAAATCAAAAGCATGGGGGTCTTGTAAAGTTTTCAAATTTTTTCTTTATCTTTTAAAATATAAACAGGACAAAAAATTGTTTACTTATATTGCTTAATTAAGTTAAATTTTGCAGATTTCAATAATAGTAAAGATAAGCATTAATTAGCATTTTTATCATATAAGAATGATTAGCTTTGTTGTTGTTGTTGCTATGCTACTAACACTTCCGTTAGAGATGATGTAGAACGTGTCTCCAGGCTGGTTCTGGCGGATGATGTACTCTCCATGTTCATACCTCACTTCCTCGAGCGCATCAACCACTTTGCTGATTGTCTGAGGTGGCAGGCTATTGATGACGGGAACGCTGCATGGAGTTCATACTTTTAAGTCAAAATACAATTCAACTTTTTTCTTTACGTTTTATTTACACCTAGATTTTCAACCAGGATTTATCCATCAAACCTCAAATTTTATCAAAATACTCGGTGACACTTAAAAAATTTTTTTGATAAACATTCATCAGATATCATCGCATCATGCAAACCACCTTTGCGCCATAGAACGCATTGCACACATGATCATGACACCTGAGGTTGCTGCTACTTTTGGTTGCATCAATATAGAACCTTCCGCACATCTATCCTGCACATTGTTATGGCAAAAAGCTACCAACTTCTCCAAATAAAAATGCCAGACTGATCCTCAACAAGCCTCTCCTTTACAGTTTATCCACCCTCTTCCGCTGCTCCACTGGTTTCATGTTTCTACTCAAACCATTTTTAAAATTTCTGTTCTAATTTTAAATTAACGTCATTTGAATTCTCGAAATATTAACACAACCTCTTAACGCGCCGTATACTTGCCAGTTCACTCCGCCAATCCTTGACTGAATTTTCATAATATTTATTTTCACATCCCACCACGGACCTCATCTTCTTCAATTTACACACTTAGGTACTATATTAAATGTCCTTTCATTTTTATATTGTTTTTTATATTTTTAAATGTAATAATTATCTAATTTATAAAGTATTCTAACATTGTTTTGGCAAAGAGTTGAATTGCTGTTCCAGTGCCACTTTCACTGTTACCGACGTTGCGTTTCGCTCTTCATTCCGATTTTAACTTGTAGCAAAAGATTGAGGTGTTGTAGGAAAACCGTTTGAACACTGATCGAGTTTAAGTTTTTTGTTCCAAAAATATTTCTTGCTAGCAATGCATCATTGACTGATGGCTGTGCATTTTTAAACTGAACATTCTTTGTATTGCCATCCACGAAATGTCGAACACTTTCAAATTGTTCGCTTTGTAATGGCATGCGGCATCAATTTGTTCATACTCATTTAATCTTTCGCCATTTTCTCATTATTTTGATTCACTTTTTCGAAAATATCTTTTGACCAATCACGAGATATTTTACAAGGATTTGAAATTACAAACGTGGTAGATGCTTTGAGAAGTCATTAACTGATATAAAATGAAACAGACCAATTATTTTTGAAACTCTTTCCAGTTTGGTATTTCGTCGTTTAGTTAATACATCTTCATTTTATTTCTTATTTTATCTTTTCAACTTTCCATATTAACAACTATATGCGTTTATGACTAAAAATAATAAAAAACGAAGATGACGTTATAAATAATTTTACATGATGATGACACTGTGTGTATGTAACAAAAAAAATGAAATCTTTTTTAAATAGGTGTGGCGGCATTTGAATAAAAAATTCACATGAATATGATCAAATTGCATTTTCATTTTAATAACAAATATGTTTGGTTGCGCCTTTTATGATTTCAATAATTTATATCCCATTTTCAAACTGTTACACATCAGAAATTTTGCATTCATTTTTAAACAAACTGCTATGATGGAATAAAAATGATGCTCTATTTTTTCATTCTAGTGAATTATTTTCAATTAAATTACAGCTGTCAATAAATATTCACCAAATGGGTATGAAATTTAAAAAAGGTTGCTTTATAACACTGTGCACAACAATTATTATTGTCTGGCTCAAAACAGTCTGCCATGCATGGATGGAGGGATGCGATGCAAACGAGTGCAATGTGCTGTGTGGCCAAGCAGTATAAAATAAAATAATGAAATAAACACAAAGCCAATGTTAGTCTACCCACGTCCTCATATTTTTTTGTTATATAGATGATGTGGTTTCTAAATGTGTAAAACCATTAGCAGAAGTGCGAATTAACTGAAGATTTTGTCTATACAATCAATGTTAAGACGTTGTTATATTAAATTAAAACTTTGGGCTGTATGGCTAAGTTTAACGACGGATTGAATTGAAATGGAAAATAAAAATAAAAAACCAGAATTATAAGAGAAAGAGCTAAAAAAGAAAAATCATCTTCATTTTTTGCGTCTCAGCTATGACCAAAGGAATACAAATTTAATTATCTTGGCTTGGTCAGCGTAGCTAGCGACGTTATTTCAAGACGTTGATCAGTACTTCATGCAAGAAGGCAGCATGGACCAATCAATCAGTCACTCATTCTTTTCACTGCAAATATCCAGAAACACCCAACATAAAATGCTTTCTCAGTAAATATATAAATATAAAAAATTTATTATTTTTTGAGAAATCATTTGATAGCATTATGGATTTCTATATAAATAAAAAATCTTATATATATATATATATATATATATATATATATTTTTACAATATTCTATAAATTCTACCGAATGTTTTGCGTTAATATGTTTGTAGTTCGTTTTTTTCAATTTTTCTCACTAAAGTTTTTTGGTGAACGTTTAGTTTATTAAAATTTAAAATAAACTTATTTTCCGAATTCATGCTGCAAATAAGGCCATATTTCGATTCCGAATGAATCATCATCAGTGCTTTCTGCTGTTTATATAGGGAAATATTGACTTTGTCAAAATGAATTTAGATGGAGATTGACTTTGTATATATATATATATATATATATATATATATATATATATATATATATATATATACACACCACACACATTTAGGATTCAGACTATCAGATATACAGTTGTTTAGGAAAGTCAAAGAATAATTTTCAGCGCTATTTAATTTTTCAATCTTTCTTACGATGAATTTCAGTTGATTATTAAGTTTACACAAAATTAGTGTGCACGTTTAAAACGTTTAAAATAGGAAAGCTTTTTTTGGAAATTCATATTTCCATTATCTATGCTAATTTTCGTGTTGTTTATGTCCTTATTGATTAATGCTAAAAATTCTGTAGAATTCAAACAATACTATATTTATATAATATATATATATTTATATATACATAAATGCATCCATACATACACATATGCATACAAGCATAAATACATACGTCATACATACATGCATCCAGAAGATCATACAAAAAATAAACACTGTGACAATATTATTTCAAAATTTAAGATTATGACCGTAACGACTAATTTGTAGTTATAATTGATAAATTGTATGATAGGAAGATTTTTACAAACTAACACTTTTATATGAATTTTTTCAAAAAACAAAAAAATTAATATGTGTACAGTAATTCAAAAAAGTTGGAAAGTATAAATGTTTCAAGCCAAAAACAATAAGTTTAGTGAGCAATTGCATGTCCTTTGTATGTACGTACGAATTCATGGAGCGGCATTTTCAAAGCAGAGCTGTGGTGGAATCGCATGAAGTGGACAACTTGAAACAGAGTGTTGGAAAAGCATTAGCAAGTGAAAAATGAAATGGCAGTCGACAAATCCTGTTACGTTACTCTGCTTCTTCGCCTACGTCTACATTCCTTGTCTCCTCTCTCTCTCTTTCTCTCTCTCTTTCTATCTTTCATGTATTCGTAGCAAATGTACCTAGCGTGATGTTTTATTCTACAAGCTCAGCGGCGTAACAAGAAATTTGTCAAAGCAGTCAACAAAAATATGTACCAATAAGATAAGCAATCAATTTTTAAACGATGACTGTTTAAAACATTTATTAATATTTTATTGAAAAAATTATAAAATTTTCTTAATCATAATAATTAAGATTTCGTTGACTTTGATATGGCATCAACTGTTTTGACGGTGAAAATGTGATTATTATTTAAAATGATATGGATCCTTTGTTGAATGTTAGCTTCTGGTTCGAAGCATATTTATCTTGCAATGTAATTAAATTAATTATTAAAAAATTATTCTAAACATTTTATTCAATCACAAAATAAACAAACCAGAAAACTAGAAAAATATTTCAATGATGGTTTCTTGTTTGCGAGTGATTCGTCGATTGAATATAGAAAGAAACAAAATGAAGTAATGCATCGAGCTGAGCATATTGTTGCAGAAACACACGGGATCGTGACCAAACCAATGCAAGCAACTTCTATGATACAACCTCTCTATTTTCAAAAATAAGAACTTAGTTCAACGATAGGACAAAAAACTTGGGTGTGTTTGGTTGAAACATGTTTGTTAGTAGATTTAATGATAATTTGAATGCCTCGAATATAATTGTTTTCATGCACTAGTTCAATTTGTAAAATGGTAAAATATTTCTTTCACTTGATTCAATTTTATTAATGAAGGTATAAATTGTCAACAAAAATGAAAGAAGCCAGAAAAAGCGCGCCAGTACATTAAGAGATGTGTAATGAATAATTGAGCACCATAAAATTTATTATACTTTCAAGTTGTAGCGTTAAAAAGTTTTTTTATGAAATGCATGCTTGAGAAAAGTTGACTGTACTTTTTATTTTTTTTGAAAATTTTAAATAAAAAATTAATTGAGATCATCATTAATTTGATAAACTTTTTTACAGTGGTTAATAATTTCTCTTAAAAAACACTACTCAGAGAAGCACAACATAACAACATATTACTTTAATGTTTAAAAAAAACAACCATCCGGACTAAGGATCTTGAATAACAAGGATAGAAAAAAAGCTAATATGAAAGAAATCAAGATATGGAAAGCCACATGCACTTACTCGTCAATCAAACACCATTAGCAAACAAGAGCGAATGTTTGATTGCAGACCATCGAAAAATTGTATATTGTTATTAATATTATTATGACCATCATTGAAGGAAGGGATGGAACATCTAACAACCACTGGAAAGATTGCAAGGGAGAAGAGATCGCGGTTAACAACGAATTACATTCGTGAAGTTTTTGTGTCACTTGTTGAATATCACCACATTTCAACTGCTACAGGGTGTTAAAGATCGGGTTTTGTGGAGGTCATCATCGTGTCTGAATGAGCATATAACGATTCATTCACCCATCCATCCACGAAAATGTCACGGTACTGACCATCTAATAATTCACCATCAATTATCAAATGTTCAATTATTGAACGCTATAAATAATATTTAACTAAAAAATATAAACTAGACGCGAAATAAGCATTCTGAAAATAAGACATCAACGCTGGAATGTTAAAATGAGTGTGATCTATGGCTGGTCAGAAATGTATGCAAACAAGTGTACACCGGCCGAGAGAAGAACGAGCACACGCATGAAACGATTTGAGAAGCGTGTTGTTCTTATTTGTTAATCACACTACGTACGTTAGATAGGACGCTTGATTACATTACAAACTGGAAGTAACAAAAATCTTTTAACAATAACAAAATAACAGTTTTGTTCACAACCACTTGGAAAATATTAATGCAGGTCGAGATATGTGGTCTTAATGATGATAGCGCTCAACGGTAGCAGAAGGCTTAAGAAATATCGGCTGTCGTGCAGGGGTAATAGGCCGTTTTCAAAAAATTTTATTAAAAATTTTAATGGATTTCTTATTTGTTAAAGAATACTTTTGCAAAACCTGCTGCTTAAAACTTTGATAGCTAGTATGATGTATATATATATATATATATATATATATATATATATATATATATATATGTATATATATATATATATATATATGTATATATATATATATATATATTGGTAATAGACTGCTGTTAACGCAACATTTCAAAAATTCAACTTTGAATTTTGGATATACATATATATATATATATATATATACATACATATATATATATATATATTTATTTATATATAAAATACATACATATATGATTAGAGTGGATACTGTCGTAAATACAATTAAGAAATGTCACTGATTTTCAGCTTTGATCAATTTCAGGCTCAACTTTTCAATATTTGTATCGTATCTTTATCATTGTTTTTTAACTTATTCATATAAAAACAAAGTTTTAAATTATTTTTTATTCATTTTTATCTTAGACAGAAAAAGGTTTTTTTGGTAACCCTTTACCATTTTCAATGTAGTTTTATCTTACACATACTGTGCGTTCCCACTTTATTGGCTCCAAAATATCACTTTGCGTGGATCCATTATTTTTCTTTATTAGTAGCTTCTTTGTCGGTAGCAAAGTTACTGCATCCTGTTGAATATCAATATTTATTACAGGGTTCTCTTTGTTTATGTAAAATGCTTCTGCAATTTTAAGTTCAAACAGATTCCTATTGCGATATAATATCTTTGTGTTATTTTTGAGTATTAAAATTATTTGGCAAAAACATCTTCAAAAAGGCGATATTTCATAAAAATTATGCGATTTAGAGTTTTATTCATGTAGATTCAGAAAAAATTTTCAACCACGCGGCAACAATACATCATGTCAATTTTTTTTATTATTTTGTCAACTTTTACTAAATAATTGTAGGAAAATTTTTAGAATTCAAAAAAGTACTTTTGTAACATTTTTAATTTATTGCTATTTTACAAACTTTTATATAAAAGTTTTAGGATGCATAATAAACTTTGATTTTAATATTATTTTTCATGTCTGGCTAGTTGAAATGTGGAAATTCAACTATCGGTTGTTCATCTAATGTATTATCGATCTTCATGTAATCAACTAAAATAAATACACTATTTTGTATTATAAATAGTTTCCATTTTTTACACAACTTATTACAAATACTCAGGCCTCTGTGCATTCCAATGTGTCGATGTGTGTAGTGGCGGATGCAGTGGGGCAGGGGGCACTGGCACATTGTTCTTGAAGGGAAAATTGACATTATAAGCCCATCTGCATAAAAGTTGCCACCAGTGACAACAGAAAAATTTTCAAAACAAAAAATTGGCAACAATTTTCTGTAAATTTCTTTTCCCGGTCATCGGCTTTTATTGGAAAATTCTCTCGGTCGTCAACTTTTTCGAAAATTCCCCACCGGTCGTCAAATATTTTTTCAATTTGTCTAGATTCGCTATTGGATGTGATTGAGTCAGCATGCTACCATTTTTGGACCTATGAATATATGTAATTTATCTATCTAAGTAGGTACTAAAATGTGTTACATCGCGATTACAGGGAAACGACTGAACGGATATTTGTGAATTTTTATTCATTTATTCTCTCTTTCTATTAACATGTATTTACTAACAGAAAAATTTAGAAAAATTTCTAAACTATTAAATTAAAAATTTTTGAGAAGTAACCTATTAATAAATAACTGTCATAAAATTAAAAAATTTAAAAAAATATTTAGGTACTTTATCTTAATCTTTTTATGGGTAATTTTTTCCTATGTTTAACGAAAACGGTAGTTTGAAAATTTGTCACTGAACCGATATATGAATGGGACGGGAAAAGAATCAATGAACGAATTTTATTACGGTGACGAGAGTAGTTTAAGGGCGTGCTCAATGTTTATCTGGAACGCATACTTAAAAATTTTGTATCAATATATAAGTCCCGAGAACCAGAGAAAAAAAAAACGTTTATTGGTATCTGAAAATTTTAGATAATTTTTAAAATTACCGAAGTATCACTACCAATATATATAGACTTGCGCATACAAACAAGACATACATACATTCAAACATACATTCCAAATTATACATATACAAAGCATGTGACAGGCGGGGATCATTTTGTCTGATTCAAACTCATTAAAATGGAGGGAGTCGTAAAAGCTGCTGAAAATTTTTCTCATACGTTGGATCATTATCATTTTTATTTTTGGACGATTCATTCTAAATTCTTTCAGAAAATAATGATCATAATTACTTTATCTTTTCACAATTGTCATTATCGTTACCAAAACCTCAGTTGTATCATATCGTCATTTTTATATCAGCATCATCTTTCATTAATAGCAAGCAACAAATCACAAAATTATCACCATCATCATCATCACCATCATAATTTCCGGCATTACCATCCCGATCGTCACAAAAACCTCATCTCACCTCATAAGGAAGTTTGTGTAATCTTCCTGCTTTTTCAGTACGGTTGTCATCATGATGGCTTGGAAGACTTTCCTTTCAATTGCCCACAACTTGCAAAATGTCAGTGCTGACGAGAATGTAATAAGGTGATGTAGTAAACGGGTTAATGATGCAAACAATGGTGACGATGGGAATGATTAGATAATTTAATTTTCTGTTTAATACTTGTCAAAAACGATACTTTTATTCAAGAAACTGTTCAATAGTGACAAAAAATAAACAAACAAAATGCGTGTTTAATATTTGCAGGTAATATACCAGTTAGAAACATAAGTTGAGTGAAATAGTTAGAAATTTGGTGAATAAACCCATATGTTTTTTAACTACACATACACACAGACACAGCGTATGTAAATATGCATAAATGAATGAATCAGACACATCAGACACGACCTTTCATTTGAGTCCAGTCACTGCAACTGCAGGACCAGGTGCATCGACTCTTACACCAACTCGCCGCTCAAATTATACCATTTCGATAAATTATAAAAATAACTCCATAAGTAATTACGAACCTCCGCTAATTAATGCTAAATAATTAGTTAGGAATCACGAATTCTTCGTTAGTCCGGGGCCGGGGACAGCACACTTGTAAAACTGGCCCAGCATAATTGTGTTTTTTCATATTGCGTAATATCAAATAGCTTACTTAAAAAATTTTCATTTTGTGCAAATTGGTTGGCTAAAAATTTGTATTCAAAGTTCAAGTTCAAAATTTGTTACGGTGTTTAAAGTATTAAACAAACTGGATATGTTTATTTCGGTTTAATTTTTCTGGAGGTTGGAAATCGGTTTATAATTAAATATGACTGTTTAGATAAATTTGAATATGAATATCATGAAACAAATTGAAACCTCTTGCAGAAGCGGTTCGTTTGCAGTTGTAGAGGATAGCTATCTCCCCAAAGATTTTGCCTGGTCCCATGATGGCAAGCCTCGTGCCCTCCTTGCATATCTCCACCGAGCCTTCTGAAAATTCAATGAGAATTTTATTTTTGCAATATTTTAAATGTGTAACCTGCCAATTCTTTTGTATTTTTCAACTGTAAATAAAAAAAATAAATAAACAAAATTCACTAAAAAAATTATTTATAAAATATTGGCATTATTGAAACGACATATCTCAAAAATATGTATATAAAATTATTGTTACAACAAAACTCAAAGTAAAAACGTTTTGATGGCAAGTAACAAAGCAATGAAATTAGCAATATTAGCACTTAATGACCAACAAATTTATTTTAAAACAACCAGACGAACCAAAATCATGAAATTTTATTAATCAGTCACAATTTTTCAGCGACAAAAATTTGTTTTAAACTTTTCAATAAAATTATTCTAAATATAAATTATTGGACACACAACATGACAAAATGGAAGAAAAACTAACAGACATAAATTTCCATTATTATCACTTAGCTAGTTTTTGTGCTTTTCTTCAAACCAATTATTTGAAACTTAATTATCTACCTAAGCGTGTAACGCTTCATGTCTATGAGCAAAATTTTAAGAAGAAGAATGCTGCATTTCATCTTATTTTCACGTATTATAGAGTATAAACTTTCTACAATTATGAAGAGCTGTTTTATGCCTTAGTTTACAAAATCGTTTCTGACTCAGTCATAAAAAAATTTAAATAAAACTGAAATATTTTTCTGCAGTAAACTTTGGTGGAGTTGTTTATGAAAAAAATTGCGATGAGTTATAGTTTGAACAAATGCATTTGTCCATGGCAAACAAACGCCGCTACTCATGATAGGCACGCGGAGGGAAACAAATAGATTGATTAAATTATGTATTCGAAACTATTTTTGACTCTTAGCAAGAAGACCAAGAAGACCAAGATGCTTTTAAAAGCACTGAGAATGTACAGAGCATACTTTTGGAGCGTAATAATGTTCGATGAGGACATACAATGAATGCATTTTGTTGAATAAGATGTTTATAATTTCAAAAATTTGTATAGACGTTAGTTACCAATTTTATACCATTTATTTACTATATATTTATTTCTTTTTTTAGTTCAAACCGAAGAACGACGGTTACAAAAAATATAATAAAGGAATAGTTTTTTCGTCACATTTTCAATTTGAACCGTATGGTGAATGAAGATTTTGTATGCTGGCTGGCAAATTCATGTACGAATACGCGATGAATGGTGTTTGATTTCATAGCAAGCTGATTTCAACTTATTATCGTTCAAATGGAGCCGTCTATTTACAGGGGCGTCATTTCAGATTTAGGTTGGGGGGGGGCGAACTTATGTGGTCTATGACTTAGCATGTAACATATATATATATATATATATATATATATATATATATATATATATATATATATATATATATGTACGGTTGAAGAACCTATCTGAGAACCTCATACCAAATTATATATATATATATATATTAATAAAGATTACGGCGTTTTTTACAGTACTCAATCTATATAATAGTTTCTCGATTCTTCGAATAATTCTCCGATCTACCAAGCTTAACTTGTTAATACTATTAACAAAATTCCTATTTACAGAAGATGTCATTATCTACTTGTATGCATATAGTACTATTTCGACTACCTAGTCTCGTAAGTGCAACATTATAATAAATTTCACATTTTTAAAGTTTTTAAAATTTCTAAATTTTCAAGTTTTAAAATTACTAAACTATATATCCTATTATATCCTTTTTACAAAGAATTTAAAATTGCCCCCCCTGCCTCCCCCCAAATGACGCCTCTGTCTATTTATATAAATAATTCAATTTTGTTTTGTTCATTTAGTTAATATTTTTAGTTTTAAATGATGAATTTTTTAATGAATTAACTTTTTTAGAAAAGATAATTATTTCACGTATAAGTGTGTACGCAAAACATCAAATGAATTTAAAACCAAAACCGTTTTGAATTAATTCTCATAAATATTTTCATTTTCATTTAATTTGCTGACAAAATTTTTTAATGTTTTTATGTCATAAAAGCTCATAACGTTATAAGTCCGATTGAAATTTTTCCAAGCATTCATTCACTGGTCGATCACTGTTTTTTTACATTACTGCAAAAGAAGTCAGCAACATTTTAAACGTTCAAATTAGCATAGGGCTCGAAGCTACTGACAAATTACATGTTCAAAAGCTATGTTGCCTGCAAGCCTATCATTCTCTTTCTTTGCACACTCCTCCTTTTTTATGTTTCGAGTTTTGTGTCACAAACGTTTGCTCGCTTACAACTGCAGAAAATGTTTAATAATATGTTTGTTATGAAACATGCATATATTTGGTGAAATTTTCAACCGAAAATAACATTAAGACAACAAAACAAACAAATAGCCAGCATGCAAATTTGAATGTAGCAGAGATGTTTTAATTGTTGCTAAAAATTAAACCGGAATTAAACTGGTGCGAAGATTAAAAACAACACTTGCCTATCTGTTTGTCTATATATGTCAGCAAAATAAAAGCTTAACTTTGGTCGTTGATGGCTTCATCTGCTTGTCAACTATGTAATTTTATGTATGATCAATGTTCACAATTCTACTGCGTTAGTTCGGTTTTATATAACTTCACCTCTTTCACTTGTTATATGTTGGGATAACGTGATAAGGATTAATATTCCATTTTTATCAGGTCGACAACAATAATTTTGCATTTTTTGCAGCAATCATTCTCTCTTATATTAAATTCATTTATATATTATGTTGATATTGATGATTAAACATGTTTTAGCACAATTGGCACACCTTTAAAACAGATCAGGCAAACCATGCAAGTGATGGATGCTGATGACCGGATGACCTCACTTGCGTTCATACCTGGGGCAAACAATTAAAGACTCTCCTTTCTTCCTTAAAAAGCCATTGATGCAGAAGGCATCCGTCTTTTTGTCAAAATTCGAAGTTCTTTTGTATCTTTTGCCAATTTTATTGAATACACCACTGTTCTATTTTCAATCTATTGATAAAACTGTTAGAAAACAAGAATTACGAACAGTGTAGTTACGTGTGGGACCCTCCAGCAAATTTAAAGTCAAGAGCCAATTTCCAATTTGCTGATGACTCAGAAATCACACCAACACCACTGAGATTATCTCTAATTTTTAACAGAGCGTCGCGGTAGATCACGTTTTCTATGGCAATAATTTTTGCTACCTCTACATGTGTATTCTTTTTAACGCATAGCTTGTTTTTTGCTGTGTATGATGCTTGCCTGCAGTATGAACATTTTCTTTTAGCACCAACTGCATTTGAAAATGTTATACAAAATTTACTGTGGTAGCCGAATCCATTGCATTTGAATCAATCAATCAATCAACCAACCAACCAATCAATCAATCAATAAGTTTGTAAAGCACTATTTCTGCATTGTTTAACAGCTCTACCCAATAAATTTTGCAAATAGATGGGTTTTTAGATACGCTCTGAACTTCGTAAGTGATGTAAAAGTAGTCCGAGAAAGAGGTAGAAGGTTCCAGAGAAAAAGACCAGAAAAAACAAACGCAGATTTAGCAAAAGAATGTTTAACATAAGTTAAGAAAAAGTAAGAACAAAAAGTCGATCGTAAACCGTTTTGGTTCAGTTAATATATCTGATAAGTACTTAGAAAATAATTTAGATTGAGACTTATACGTATATGTGCCAATTTTAAAAGTTATTCTATATTTTGTAAGTAGCCAAGGCAAGAGAACAAATATGGAGATCTATATGAGAAAAGGTAGAGACACTAGCAACTAGACGAGCAGCCGGATAGAGTGTAGAATCAAGGAAACCATAGTAGAGCAAGTTACAATAATCGATCTTAGATAAAAATAAAAAATAAAAAAGAATAAGAGAAAGATGATCAAGAAAAGGCAAAAGTTTTTTTTAATTTTAGGTAGATGAAAGTAGGAACTTCTAGCAACGCTATTAATCTAAGAAGAAGAGACATGCTGGAATCAAAGATAAAGCCTTGATTACGAAACTTATGAGAAACATCAAAAATTTTAGAATCAGGTAAAATAATAAAATGAATAGTAATAGAGTGTTTAGATTTATTAAAACAAATTAATTCAAACTTTGAAGAATTAAGTTTAAGACACATAGAGTCAGACTAATTGATAATTGAAGAAAGACATAAAGATAGATTATGAAGAGCACTATTGAGATTAGATGGAAGAAGAGAAATATAAATATAAGAATCATCAGCACATAGTTGACTAGTGAGAGAAAAATTATTAATAAAGCGAGGTAGTTCAGAAGTATAGAGTACAAATAGAAGAGAGTCAACGATAGAACCATGAGGTACCCCGAAAGTAAGAGCAGAGAAGTTAGAAGAAGAATTATTAAAAACAACAGAAGAAAAAAGATTACAGAGATAGGAAGAAAACCAAGATATACAAGAATCAGTGACATTAAAAGAATGATTTAGCAATGAAAGAAACCATCAACGCATTACAAATTGTTCGTTGGTCGAGATATAATAATAATAATTTATTATTAAAGGGCGCGAACTGAACGTTCCTATGCCCCCAACAACAGAAAAAAACAATATAATTAACCAACCATACAATATATAATATTAAGTAAAATACATACGTGCACAAACATGCACAAACACACACACACATATATATAAACATACATACATAAACATAACCATAAAATGAATACAAAATGGAATCATATCAGCCAGCTTACATATAAGCATATACGTATATATACATACATAAGCACACATATATACACACACACAAAAAAAGCCAATTAATACAAAATAGAATTATATCAGTCAGCTTTATAATCAAATGTACATGAAATATCTTTTAAACAAATGTCTAACATTTTTTTAAATGAACAACATCACAATCATTCACCATTTCAACATTCAAACAATTCAAAATATAAACCACTCTATAACAAAAACAGTGCTTCCGTAGGTTCTTAATAAATTTTTGATTTGAAAGCTTGTATTGATGGCCTCTTGTTCTATCATTCTTTCTTTTGACCAAGTTAGGATAACAAGACGGCATTTTCGTATCGCGACTTAGCTTGAAGACCGTTATTAGATCTCTCCTTATCGACTATACTTTAGAGTCGAAAAATTTAACAATCTTAAACGATCTCCATAATTGAGACTTCGGCAATTCATTACCAATTTTGTTGTCCGATTCTATACTCTTTCGACATCCACAATCAACTTCTTGGTCCATGGAGCCCACACGCTGGATGCATATTCGATTCTAGATCTGACAATAAATAGATTTGTGTAATAACAAAAAAGAGTTTGAAGTTAAATGACCAGGATTAAAGTATCGAGAAATCAGACTTAAATAACTATTGCATTTATTTATACTACGGAGTTTATGCTTATGAAACGTTAGATCGCAATCAAACGTCTTTTCCAAGTCATTCATTTCTTTTGGGAAATCTAAATATATTCCATTTATTTGATAAGCGTTATTTAAAGCATTATCCTTCTCACCCTCATATCTAACAACCACATATTTACCAATATTTAGTTTCAATCGCCATTCATTACACCAGTTACACAGGCCATCCAAACAAGACTGCACAATCATTCTATCATCCTCTGAACAAATACTCTTAAAGAACCTGGCATCATCAGCATATTAGTACACACGTACATCCGTTCTATTTGCAAATATATCAAATAAATAAATAAACTAAGTAGGGCCTAATACACTACCATGCGGAACTCCACTAAAAACACAAAAGTTAGGTAATTCTTTATCCCATCCACAATCAAACTACTCACTCTATAAGATTTTAATTTAGAAATAAGTTTATCATGAGGAAACTTATCAAACGCTTTCTCAAAATCAGTGTATATAACCTCAACTTCCTTACCCTCATCAATTGCCAAATTCCATTCATCTAACATCTATAATAACAACAAAACAGCAGATATAATTTTCCATACAACATACATCTCTTTTTTTATGAATTAGTATCACAATACTGTGCCATCAAGCATCAGGTATCATATGCAAGTTCAATGACAAATTAAACAAATTGCATAAATAATCAGCAATTACGCTACTACCAGAGTTCTAAAATAAATTTCATCCGGCCCAGCTGATTTATTCATATTTAGCTTCCTTAACCGTAATAAAAAATCTGACATTTATAGGATCACACGACATGGCACGAGCACATTTATCACCCAAAACAGACACACAACGATTTCCGTCAGGCACGCTATACACACTATTAAAAAAAGCCCCAAATAAATTAACTTTTTTCTTATCATTACTTATATTTATTCTATTACCAAACTTATCAACTATAGACAAAATATCAATGTTACTCCTTGATTTTTATTCATTTATATATATTTATTTTTATTTTATTTATATATATATTATTTTTATTATTATTTTTGCGTCCTGGGCATGACATAAAACTGCACCCACGCTGCCTTGCGCGCTTTTGAGCAAAAGGCTAGGCCCACCGCTTATAACTGGTGGTTGTCGTCAGGATGGGTGTCCGGATGTAAAAACTTTCCCCAAATTACTCTTATGCCATCACAAAGAAAAACAACGGCCCCTAGTCCCCAGCAGGCCTTAAGTGGTCAAGGGGTGCCAAGAATCCCTGGGAAGTATGCAATAGCGGAGGGATGTTGCAGAAAAATTCAGAATGGCCCCTCTATGGTACTTAGACTTGGAACGCTCAATGTTGGATCACTGACTGACCGCAGCATGGAAATCGCAGAAATGCTCGAGCGTAGAAGGATTGACATCTGTTGCCTTCAGAAAACCTGATGGAAATCGAATGGTGTCTGTCATGTCAACTCAGACAAAGAAAAATATAAACTATTCTGGAATGGTCAAAAGACGGCCAAAAATGGTGTTGGAATTTTTGTCAGAGAACCGCTAGCCCAAGAAGTGCTGGATATTAAAAGGATTAATTCACGTCTCATGTGGATCAAGCTTCGCATAGAAAAGCAAACAATGATTATGTTTTCTGCATATGCACCACACACAGGCGAATCAGAAGAGATGAAAAATGACTTCTGGGCTGCATTCTCTGACACCATCTTAACAATACCAAAATCTGAAGCAATCCTGATTGGAGGCGATCTCAATGGCCACGTTGGAGAGAAAACAGATGGTTTTGATAACGTGCATGGCGGTTTTGGCTATGGAAAACGGAATGAAGATGGCAACAGCATCCTTGAGTTTGCTGAAAGTCACGGGTTTTGTTTACTGAACACATATTTTAGAAAGAGGTTGGAACATCTCATAACATACAAAAGTGGACCATCAGCCAGGCAAATTGATTTCTTCGCTGTCAAGCAACCACACCGAAGGCTGTTCAAAAACGTCAAAGTTATACCTGGCGAATCATGTGTCGCCCAACATAGACTCCTTGTGGCAGACCTGGTTGTAGAACTGTCAAAACATAAGTCTAAACAAATGCCTCGGAGAATCAAAACGTGGAAGCTGAAAAGCAATATTCATCGAGTAAAATTTCAACAGATTGTCGCCACACAGTTAGACCACCAATCGCAAGCCAGTACAGATTGGAGTACATACAAAACCGTTTTGATAAACACTGCAACTACAGTTTTTGGAAAAACTGGTACAAAACGTCAGCACGAACGTGACACTTGGTGGTGGAATGACAGTGTACAAAATGCAATAGCTGAAAAGAAAGTTGCATACAAGCAATGGCAAAAATCAAAGTCTTTTGATGACTATAAAATTTTCCGTGATAAGAACAACTATGCAAGACGTCAAGTTGCACTGGTTTGACAGATCAGTGCAGAGAGTGGCTCACTAAAAGCAAAGGTGAACAAATGAAATCTCTGTATCATATAGCAAAACAAGCGAAGCGTACGAAAAAAGACATAGTTGGTGCCTCATGTATCAAAAATGACAAAAATGAAATGGTTCTTGAACAAGATGAGATCAAGCTACAGTGGAAAGGATAATTCAACCATTTGTTAAACGAAACAAATCTCATCAATGTTTACTTTGACGCTCCACCCATCGAAGGTCCGTTTTCAGACATCACTGTAGAGAAGCTTACAGAAGCTCTGAAAGCTATGAAGGATGGAAAGGCAGCAGGGCCCTCTGGACTCACAAATGACATTATCAAAGCATCTGGTACTGCAGGTATCCAAACGTTACTACAACTTTGCCGTGAAATCTGGAGAAATTGCTCAATGCCGACTGAATGGAACTATAGCATGACAGTCCCGCTATACAAAGACTAAGGTAATCCATTGAACTGTTCATCATATCGGGGTATACGTCTGTTAGAACACTCCCTGAAAATTGTCGAGAAAATCATTGAGAGAAGATTAACGTCGTGCATCACAATCGGAAATTATCAATTTTGTTTCCTAGCGGGGAAATCAACAATTGATGCAATTCACATCCTTCGGCAACTGCAAGAGAAGTACCTCGCAAAGCATCAACAACTATCACACATTTTTGTAGACCTTGAAAAAGCATTTGATCGAGTTCCCTGAGAAGCAATCAGGTGGAGTCTACGTCGACAACTCATTCCAGAATATCTTGTTCGACTTGTGATGGAAATGTATACGAATACCAAGACTCTTGTCAGCACAACAGTTTGAAACACAGATGCATCTGACATCGGCGTTGGAGTTCACCAAGGCTCGATTCTCAGTCCACTGTTATTTATAACTGTGATGGAAGAAATCAAAAAACCGATACGCACTGGTGACATTTGGAATCTAATATATGCTAATGATATCGTTTTAACAGCCACGTCTGAGCAGAATGCAGCACAGATGTTTGAAGATTGGAACACCAAACTCGCCGATCATGGATTCAAAGTCAACATCAGCAAAACCAAAAAAATGAACACTGGTGAACCCATCAAATCCACAGCTACTGGGCGATGGCCCTGTTCAGTTTGTAAAGCTGGTGTTGGTAACAATTCAATCAAGTGTCAGCAGTTTAACCAGTGGTGTCACAAACGTTGTTCAAAAATAATTGGTACTTTATCTAAAGTGTCCAATTTTGTTTGTCCTGCTTGCATCAATCCTCAACAACAAATTCGAAATAGCACTGTTTTTGAAGCCATTAAGGTAGAAAAAATCACATCGTTTCAATATCTAGGGGATGTTCTGGATTGTACTGGAACAGCTGAAGCTGCCGTTCGAGCACGCATACATGCAGCCTGGAATAAATGGCATCTTCTTGCCTCTATATTGATGCGGCGTGACATCCCACTACCACTACGATCAAGACTTTATAAATCTGTGATTTGTCCGGTGTTGTTATATGGTGCAGAAACATGGCCAATGACAACCAAACTAGAACAACAACTTCAACGAACCGACATGAAAATGCTCCGATGGATGCAACGAATTAGTCTGAAGGAGCACATCAAATCTACCAAAATCCTGCGTCGTGCTGGTTTAGATGATATAAAGGACGAATGCCGGCAACACCGTCTGCGGTGGTTTGGTCATGTCAAACGAAGTGGAAACAGTGAATAACTTCTCTTGCAGATTTTTAAGTACCTGGCACACGTCCCAAAGGCCGTCCAAAGAAGTCCTGGTCGCAAACAATCGAGCAAGACATGAAAGCTCTAAATTTAAATGAAATGGATACAACTGATCGTTTAATTTGGCGCAAAAAGTTGATGGCAAAGAGAACAACGTCCTACCTCGGGAAACCGGGTCTCTGGACGCAAAACGAAGATTGATTGATATATATTATTTTTTCATTTATTTAGAAAGCTTTTGGATTAGTTAGAAAAATTTACCCGATACCTTTTACAATTCCTATCAAACTTAGGTATATATAAATCAGTTGCCTTTGACAACATACATGAAAAGTGATTCCACATGTCATTCAACACCTCAGAACTAGTTTTATCAACAACAAATTGATATAAAATATTAGTAAGAAAATTACGCATTGAGTCAGTTACCTTTTTTAAAATTATACTTACTGATAGAGAAATGTCATAAATTATACCAAACATAACTATATCTTAAACTCAAAGCTAAGTGGTCACTCTTCCTAATAGGTGCTATATACTCCTAATTCTCAATATTGTCAATATCTTGAACCAGTAATAAATCAAGAACATTAAATCTCTGATTTTGACGATTTTGATTTAATTTTGGTTGAGAATGTGGATTTAATGAATGATCTTTCTGTTATTGATCCATTGGGTAAAAGTGATCATGGAAGTACATATTTTAATGTTAAATCAAATTCAACTAAACTCAGCATTAATAATCATAAACTGAATTAGGATAAAGGAAACTACAAGGCTATGGTGAAGTACATAGATGTTAATTTATGGAAAAATTACAATGAAATTTCAAACTTGGATTTATATGCTTCACAGGAGGTAATCATTAACATGTGGATTGTATTCAAATCAGTGATATTGGAGGCAGCAAATATATTTGTTCCTACGTTTGGTTTTGAATCACCAAAGTTGAAGTTTTCTGATGAACTAGAGTGCCTAATAAGATTAAAAAGAAATACCTGGGAAAAATATTCTAAATCAAAGGATATTATGCTTTTTAATAAGTTTAAATCAATACGAAACCAGATAAAAAGAAAAATCTATGAACTAAAGGTAATTAAAATGAGATTGCTATCTGATATAATCAAATCTAAGCCAAAAATTTTTTGGAAACATATTAAGCAATTGTCAAAAAAGAAGGTTTCAATTGATTATGTGACAATGACAGATGAACAAAGTAACGAAATTTCCATCATTACTAGTCTGACATTGCCAAAAAGTTTGCTAAATTTTTCAATAGTGACTTTTGTTCAGATGCAGGTAACAATGAAAATGTACATTTTGAAAATAATTTTGTGATGGCTGAGGGTGAAATGATACCTCTTGTTTTGTTGGAAGAGATTGTCTGTGATAAAATGAAACGTCTAGAGATATATAAATCAGCAGGCCCAGATAATATTTGTGGGGAAAATTTCGGTAGAATGTGCTGAAGCAATTTCTGGCTTTCTGAATAAATTGTTCAATTTTTCTTTAAAATTTGGAGTTCTACCGAATGATTGGAAAAACAGTAAAATTATCTCTGTTTATGGAAAAACAGTAAAATTATCTCTGTTTATAAAAAGAGAAATATTTATGATGTTCACAATTACAGACCTGTCTCCCTAACTAGTATTTTTTGCAAGGTTCTAGAACGTTTTGTAAATGATGCTCTTTTAAATCATTTCAGTACTAATAACTTCTTCAGTCAATTTCAATATAGTTTCATTAAAAGAAGAAAACTTCTCTTTAGTTGTTGAAAATAATGGACATTTGGATTAATGCTTTGGATGATTGGGATGGTGTGGATATAATATTTACTGATTTTTAAAAAGCATTTGACAAAATTTCATATGTTAAATTAATCATAAAGTGCAGATTATATTTTGTGAATGAGAATGTGATTAGATGGATTGAATGTTATTTGAAAGATAGAAAATATTGTGTTATTGTTAATGTGGTGTGTTCTGAATGGATGAATGTTACGGGTGGTGTTCCGCAAAGAAGTGTGTTGGAACCTGTATTGTTTGTTTTGACAATTTGGTTGGTTGGTGTGGGGAGAACGATGTAGTTTTGAATGAAGATAAATGTGTATGGATGTCTTTAGGTAAAAATAATGATTTTTGTCTAAGTTATAAAATAGAAAAGTGTTTGTTAAATAAAGTTGAATCCATTAAGGATCTCGGTGTTAAATGCACATAGTATTGTAAATAAATGTTATCAAATAACAGGTTTAAATCAGTTTCATTTTTTTGTTTTGGATAAATTTTCATTTTTGACTTTATATAAATCTATGGTTATATCTAAATTAGATTATACTTCTGCTGTATGGTCACCGTAGCAAACTGGTTTGATTGAGAAAATTGAGGGTGTTCAGAAAAGAGTTACTAAATTGATGCATGAATGTCGTGGTATGAAATACAAGGAAAGGCTGAGGTTTTTAAATTTATCCACACTAAAGTATTATAGAATCAGAGGAGATCTGATTACTTTGTATAATATTTTGAATGATAACTTAAATAGTAATTTATATCCAAATCTAAAATTATGTACAAATTCGATAACTAGAGGACACGATTAAAAGTTAGAAAGAAAAAAGGCTAGAACAAACATGAGTAAATATGCATTTGACCTTATCTTTAGAACTCATCATTTCTTTTCCCTATCAGACTGCCACTAAATAGTTAGAAATTCAATTACCGAACAAAAAAAATAATACGGACAATAACTCACAAAACACTGACAACGAGAACAAATGACCGGCGTGTTGCGGTATCCACTCTCAATAACCTTTTCAGTCTAATATAATAAAGAGCATAAGTTTAAAATAAACTTATAAAGTTATTAATTATTTCGAAATTAAAATTTAACAAAAATTCGTAAATACGTCAACTGTATGTTCTTCATTGCCAGAAGTCACTTTCAAATTTGTCAAAAAGGGATCATTTAACAACTTCCAACAAACTCCAACCTTGCCAGATGAGATTAAACGTCTAAAGCGAAATGTTACAGACAAATAAACACGTTTTGACCTTGCAGCGTTGAAAAATACAATTCGTCACGACAGGATCCTTGCAGTAAATTTATAAAACCAAAAATTTGCAAATTCAAAAATTTCGATATTGGCTAATTAAGATTGTAAGGATGTTTGTTCAGTTATCAACACTTTTTAAATTACTAAAAGTTCCCCACCAAATCTTCAATTTGATCTCAAAAGACAGTAGGCCTAAATGCAATTGTCTCAAGCTCATATTAAAAACTTTTAGAATTTCAACACTTGGATTTTTTAATGCTATAAACAACTTAACAAACTCTGTTATTATCATATTCAACTTTCTGCCATAAGAACGACGAATTAATCTTATTTTTTTAAACTAACATCCCCTATTGTACTTATTTTAAAAATGTTCGCTATAATGTACTGAAGATAGAAAAATACATTCCTCCTCCAAAACTAGATGTAATAACTGTCGGAAATACGGTCACCATCATAGAATCTATAAAAAAAAAATCAACATGCGCAAATTGTGGAGAGTCAGGTCATAAACACTTCTGGAAGTCACCATGCAAAAAAACAACCAAAATGCTTTCATTGTAAAGAGGTAAAAGCAACATTTGATAAAAAATGCCAGAAATATGTATTAGAAAAACAAAATCACAAAAAAATATGAAAACGACATAACATAATAAAGCTCGAGCTTCAGTCACACAGTTAGGCAAACCATCTCAAAATAAAAATAAAATGATGTCAGACAAAAATAAACAGTGTAACCTGATAGACATGCCACTACAGAACTCTCTCTATATATAGACAAAGTAAACAAAGTCTCTACAGATACTAAGTACTAACATAAAGAGCACCAAAAACAAATCAGATTAACAATCTTCACAATAAATATTTCAATCCGATGATTATATCCTCACCATATTTATCATCCTCGCCATCATTCTTACCATCAACACAACCTCATTGTTATTATTTATTAATTTTCAATTGTCTTGTGATTTTGACTTTTTCTACAGTATTGCTTAGTATAGGAGAATCTTGAAGGTGACGGTAATGGCGATAATAATATCTGTGCTAAAAATAGTGGTAGAAATAATGGTAATAATGATTGTAATAATGGAAATGATGTAATGATAATAATGGTGAGGATGATGATGATTGTGGTGATGGTGGTGGTGATGATGGTGGTGATGATGATGGTGGTGGTGATAATGGTGGTGATGATGGTAATGGTGGGGGTGACGATGGTAATGATAATGGCGGTTATAGTGGTAATGATAATTTTAATAATAATAATAGAATGGGTAACAATGATGGTGATGGTGAAAATAGTAACGGCGGTGGTAGTCATAGTGATAATGGCTTTTACGGTGGTAATAATGACTGCAATGATGGTGGTGACGGTAATAATTGTATTGATGATGGAGATGGAGGTGGTGTTGATGACGACGATAACGGTAATGGTGACAGTAATGTTGTTGTAGATGATAAAAACAGTGGTTTTAATGATAATGATGGTGACAGCAATGATGGTAATGGTAACGGGAAGGATAGTGGTGATTGGTGATGGTATTAGTAATGGTAAAAATAAGGACAACAACAATTTTAAAATAATTCAATTGAACATAAGAGGACTAAGAAGTAGTTTTCAAGAGCTACTGATATTAATTGGAAACCATAGGGGAGAAGGTGGTAATATGAACCACTTTTTTGTCTTGGGCCAAAAAAAATATTTAGACAATAGTTATTGGACCCTTAGTCTACCAAACAACTAAAAAATATGTATTTTATAATATTTCATGACTAATTTTGGTAAAGAATAAAACTTCTCCTTGAATAAACATTTTTTTGTTAGCATACCTCGAAAAATGGTTTTTGGAAGTTGGGGTGGTAAAATGAAACAAATGTAGAAATGAACAAAAAAATGTTTTGTTTTCAAAACAATTTCTTTTATTCTTAAATATAATTATAGTTTTATACTTTTAAACATAACAAATTGTTGTTATCAATGAAATAAAAATTATAAGTAATAAAACACATTTTTATATGAGTTTTTACAAACAAAAGTCACAGATGAAAATATCTTTTTCACATCCACTACATAACATACGAGCCCATTTTAGACATATCACACATTGCACCTATAGTTCTCCAGATTTTGATGTTTTGAATGTCTCACCACAAAATAAGCAGTCTGCATCATTATCTTCTGGAACTTCCTGTCAAATAAGATCTAATGTGCTGGAGCTCCCGGATGAGATAAGACTTCCAGTATCTTTTTCATCGCTTGAAGTTTCATCTTCATTCTTCCTTTTTTCAGAAATTAGACATTGTTTACTTGTTCCTAGCTGATGCTGATCCACCTGCTTTTTATTGCTGATGGCTGCATTGTGATGTGGTCCCCTTTTTCCTTCGAATTTGGTTTAGCTGATTTTTTATCATTTGATGATTTCAAGGCAGCCTTATATGGAGAACTGATTATGATAGTAGCTGATAAGGCTTTTCTACCTCTATCTGTCGTTACCCCCTTTTTAGCGGTCCCAATTTGTTTCTCGGCATGATACTTAAAAAATACAAAAGATTGTATTTTGGAACAGTCTGTTTCATATTACCACCAATCGCCATTTTAAAAACCAGTCCAATAATTACAATTTACAAAGCATAATTTTAAATAACTTTTCAAGAAATTTTAAAGTTTAACATATCTATTAAATGACAAAATAAATAATTATATATATTATTTACTCATAAAGATACAAAAAAAATTAAATCTTACCTATCAAAATGTTTGAACAACTTCGGAAACCATTTCGTGTAATTTGAAGAACGCATTTAACCTAACAATAACGCCAGCTATCTAGAATGACCAAAGACTATTTAATCTTTTTAGTTAAAACAATTATAGATAGATCATAACAAATCTTTATGGAAAAAATGCGGTTTCATATTACAACCCCGTTTCATAATACTACCTTCTCCTCTAAACCTCATATATATTGTTTGCAATAAACTAAACTGACAGGTGTTACCAAAATTGAAACAAAAAAATATTCTTTTTTTATTCTTATCACATAACTGTCATTGCAACAGAAGCAAATCCTGGTGCAGGAGTATCAATATCCATTCATCATAAAATCTCTCATTCTCAAATTAAGAATGATTTAAGATTTAATTTCAGATTTTTTCAGAATTTCAGATCTGTGCAATCAACTTTAATATCAATAGGCAAATAATCATCTGTAACTGTTACATTTCCCTAGTATCAAAATAAACACGCTCATGTTACAAATTTATTTGATAGTCTGCCCAAAATCTTGTTAGGTGACTTCTGTGCATATAATAAAATATGGTACAGCAGAAAATTTAATTATAATGGTAAAATCATTAAAAAATTTCTTCTGCATAATTATATCTGCTTAATAAAACCCAGTCAACCGACATATTTTCAATTGTATACAAAATCTGTCAACAATAGATTTAGCGTTCACTTCTCTTTCTATTTTTAATCATATTAAGTGGAAACGAGAAGATGACTTATATAACAGTGACCATTTCTCAAACATTTTATCATATTATAACCCTAAATCAATTATAAATAAAAAAACAACCTAAACAAAATAGACTGGTCCTTATTTACTAAACATCCAGAAAAAAACAAGAAGCTCAACTGAAATAAGTAAAAGCAAAGCCATCAATCCTTTAAATTATATATCCAAAAGCATAAATCTCATCTACTAAAATTAATCCCAAAATCAATCCGTGGATTATTAAAACATGTAAAGTAAACAGATGTGAAAAACTAAAAGCTTTTAATAAATACATAAAAACTCCTAGAATTAAAAAATAAAATGCTGGAATAATTATATCAGTTCAATAACCGAAAAAATACCTCTAAGGAAAATTTGGTCTATGATAAGCAAAATTACCAACAAGCACTTTAATTACTACTCAAATCAATTCGTCAACAACAACATAAGTTATCATTCAAATGAAGAAATAGCAAAAACATTTGAAGACCATTTTAAAAAATCTCAACCAAAAGTGAAGGGAAATTTACCTTCAATTTTGATTCCAACAATGAAGAGTCATGCAATGACTTGATATCGTTAACGAAAATCAAATATTTTATAGAATCAAGCAATAATTCTTCTCCAGGTCCAGACATCATAACTAACGACATACTCAAAAAATTAACAAATTTATCATTAATTGCAATTAAAAATGCATTCAATTATATTTGGAAACATTCATCAACACCAGAAGAATGGCGTTAAGCGCCAGCAATACCGACATCAAAGCACATCAAACCATAAACGACCCAACCGATTCATATCATTAACTAACACACTATGTAAAATCTTTGAAAAAATAATTATTTTACTCAAATTTGGAGACATTCAAATTCAATTTGAAAACGAGATAAAAATCCGAGGTATAATTTTTGACGACAAATTACATTTTTTACCACATATCTAATATGTAAAAAATAAAATAATGAAATCTTAAAACATAATAAAAACTCTTTCTCACTACAGATGGGGAATACATCCAGGTAAATTTTTAATAATTTGCAAAGCCAAGATAAGAATATTATTAGACTATAGCTTAAAAGTCTTCGGTGGAACAAAATAATCTTACATGAATGCTTTGGATCCTATTATAAACGGCACGTTAAGAAGATGCAATAACTTGAATTAAATGTTATTTCAATATTAAATTATTTTGCCGCTTCTAATTGCATTGATTTAAAATAACGCTTAAATCAAAGTCTAAAATAAAACCATCTATTAAAACTTTACTAAATGAAATCACGTCTTCAATTTCGGCAAAATTGATAAAATATCCTCTTCTTAAAAGTAAAATAATAGCGAACATAATTTGGCAAATTTTGTTAGAGATCAGTTTTTTACTATGAAGTTAAGAATAGTGTAACCATGAATAATTCAAATTTATGAAATTTAATGTCTGAAATTTTTACTAAACAACAGTCATAGCAAATGAAATAGAAATTGACATTAAAAATGTTAGGACATTTTAGAGTTAGCTTATGTTGAGTTGAATAGAAAAAAATGTTAAGCAATGTTAAACTTAAAAACTCAACTGGTGGCTATTTCTGGCCATTTATTCTTGAACACCTGACTTCACCACTAACTATTTTCCAATCTGTTTGTGAAATACACTGAAGAGCGTGGTTGAACATTGCTGAAACAGAGCTTTAGAAACCGATTGATAGATCGATCGATTGATCGATCGATCGATCGATATAATTATTTAACATTTTAACAAAGTTGAAACCAGAAACTAGTGAGATTTGTTCCATCAGATTGAAATATAAAAACACTCTGAATGTATAGATTAAACAAAAATTGTTAAAAATACCAAAGTAAATGTACTTTGAATGTATAGATTAAACAAAAATTGTTAAAAATACTAAAGTTAATTAATTTGAAAAGTTCACAATCAATCAAATACTCGTTGTAATGAAACAAAACTTTGTTATAAATTAACACCTGCTAAGATGCTAAGAACAATTTCATTTTAGCACTTAATTCTTTTTGTTTAATCGCTAATTAAAGTAGGTTTCTTGTATTCATTAATAACAATATCTCTTCATCCGTCTTTGATTTATTAGCAACTAATAATTCTTTATGATGTTAAGACCGTTTGTATATATATATATATATAACAAGGTGTTGAGGCATTCACAAATAAATCTTAGAGATAATATTTATTTGAGCATCTCTTTCCACTATTTCATAACACCGTGTGTACAGTGAAATGGCTGCAATAGTCAGAATCTAGAGGAAACGTGAGGAAGATCCAATTGAATCATTAGTGTTTGTTTGCAAAAAAGGAAAGAAATGTTATGATGGTGATGAGGAACTGTTTAAAATTGAGAACAAGTTCAAGTTCGCTGGAACAGTTCATCAGGCTAATGTAAGTATCAGTGGAATTTGTTCTTTCCTATTCATTTATTTCGTTCAGCGTTACACATTTGGTTTGCTTCTATTAAATTTTTTAAATTAGTTTATTAATTTTAACTCAATTTCATATTTCAGGATTCCCTCATCCATCAAACTGTCAAAACTGCAATAAGACAGTATAAACTAGAAAATGAGAGGAAGAGACACTGTGATGTAGCTGACGATCACAAACCAAGTAAGAAAAGAAGGATATCTCTTCATAAAGGATATCAAATTATTGAAAAAAAGACAGCCGAAACATTTGACTCGTTGGCCAATTCCGAAAGGAATTGAACAAATGAGAATACAAAATATTTTCTTTTCAATGTCGAAAAAATTGATAAGCCTCAGCGAAAGAAATCAAGAAATGGCCCAAAAAGAGACGCTGATGAAAAACAGAAGGAGAACAACTTCGTTTATGACGTCTTCTTCATAAATGATTACAGATTTGATTTCTCACCGTTTCAAAATGTTCAACACGTTGAGGCGTACAAACAATGTGACGACGCTGAATATTTGGCAGAGGAGGAAGAAGAGGAAGAAGAGGAAGAGGCTTATGAAGAGGACGATAATGAAGATTGTGAAAACAACTGGCGTAACGACTACCCAGATGAATCCTCCTGGTTTTACAATGCGGATCCTAATTTTAGCTGTTACGATTGCGTCCAACGTTAGGAAAGAACGATAATCAGATTCAATGATTTTACTGGATTTTTATCATTGTCTAGGGCAGAATTAATTTTACGTTTTATATTTAAATGGTCGGCATTAATAAACTTTACATACACTTTAAAAATATAAATGCTGTTAATACAATATTTTAACTTGAATTAAATGTGGTTTCAATATTAAATTAAATTATTTTGCTTCTTCTAATTGCATTGATTTAAAAGAACGCTTAAATCAAAGTCTAAAATCAAACCATCTATTAAAACTTTATTAAATGAAATCACGTCTTCAATTTCGGCAAAATTGACAAAATATCCTCGTCTTAAAAGTAAAATAATCGCGAACATAATTTGGCAACTTTTGTTAGAAACCAATTTTTTACTATAAAGTTAAGAATAGTGTAACCATGAATAATTCAAATTTATGAAACTTAATGTCTGAAATTTTTACTAAACAACAGTCATAGCAAATGAAATAGAAATTGACATTAAAAATACATGAACAAATTAATATGCTAAAGAAGCTCAATATAATTGAAAAACTACCACATCTCCCATCTTGTGACTATATTAGCCTGATTGAAATCAACACTCAACTAAATTCAACAAATTTACAGAACAAAATATCAGCAATTTATTAGTTCAAAAATTTCTTCAGCAAAATCAAAACAGGCAATTGAACAACATTTGCTGAGCAACATCTCGATTCATACTACAGAACTGCAAGCAATAAATTTTGCTCTTGAATTCATAAAATCTAAAATAAATAAAAGTTTACTTGTAATAACAGATTCACTATCAAGTGCGCTAGCCATTACACAGTCAGTTTGAGACAAAAAATGATTTTGTCGTGTTAATAAAAGCAAAGATGTATTTAATGGCGCAGAATAGATGTGATATTAAATTTCTTTAAATACCAAGCCACATCGGAATATCAGGCAATAAGGAAGCAGATACCTTTGTGGTTGAAGGTCATAGTCACCGATATCAGATATCCTAATTCCATTTATTGATTTCAACTTTTAAATTAATAGACATGTTCAAAAATTATGCTAAACAAGTGGAACCTAGCTAAAACTTTTTTTCGGTAGTTACGCCCATGCTTAGAAGATAAAAATTTAAAAATATGCAATGATCTATTCACATACAGGGTAATGATAGGGCACACTAATATAACTTACAACTGCCTATTGAGCAAAACAGACCCTCCAGTCTGCAAATACTGTTAAAACATCTTAACAATACAGCATTTATTCTCATGCCAAAGACATTAGAACAAAACACTCTATATCAGAAGATATCTTTGACAACTTTAAATCCACAAAAAGCATTGTCCCAGTTATAAACTTTTTCAAAGACTTACAATATTTTGATGATATTAAATTTTATGGCTCCAAATAGAAATCTTACATCATAGACCCAAACAGGCCACTGAAATGCCGTTAAACTGATACAACAACAACAACAACAACAACAACAACAACAACAACAACAACAACAACAACAAGATTCAGTATAATTAATATTATAGAAAGCCCGCACTTATAACGATGAGAATGTCGCTCCTGTCGCTCCTGCTAATTTCATTACGATTAGGAATAATTCAGCGCTATTTCTTTCATTCAATTCATTTAAAAAATAAATCTCATCATAAAACATGAACATTATTTTATGGAAAACCTTTTATTATTAAAAAATTAAGTAAATTTTTTTTTATTCAGCAGCTAATGTAAACTTTTAACAATTACGTATTGGTAATTATTTGTTTATTTCGTCGTTACCATGTAGCTCTAACATGTAAAATTGCTAAATGTTTAACGATTTTCGAAAGGTCCGTCGGACATTTTTCTCGACAACCTCTCCATTTTCAAAACAAACGTCAGACACATTATGTAGCACTGAATGAATTTTTTATTAAACTTCACACCGCTATTCTTCTTTCGTGCACGATCAACCCGTTAGCAGCAATGCAACTTGTTAGTGCTACCTTTATTTAAAAATTCTTTGATTTTGTTTTTTATTTTTATTAGTAGCACAAGTGTTTTTTGAAAAATATAAAGTAGAAAATGCTTGGTATCATTTGTCTGTACTCTCACATTCTGAAATTGAATCATTTATTATTTAAATGAAGTTTACTTTCCATTGCTTCTGTGATTTTTGTTTGTTTTAAACATTCATCGTACATCAACAGTTATTGCAGAAATAGCCTAATCAACAAGAAGGAAAGAAATAAATTACATCGACTTACATCAAAATCTAAAAGTAATTTATGCAAATTGATGTTACGTATTGTCAACACAGTGTTTTAAATGCAACTATTCTAAAACCCATGAAACATTAAAAAGAAAAAAGAGTAAATATGCAGCAGTGTGCTCATGAAAGAAAAATGAGAGCCTAATCTGTCATCTCGGCAACTTTCTCAAGTTGGATTTGCAAAAAATTTTGTCCGACTGTTATATTTTTTCATCGAACGTGACCAAACCACGCGTCACAACGAAGAACATTGTTTAATATTGTTTTTCTAGGTGCACGTTTCTGAAAATTGCTAAATAAGATGCATGACTAGTGAATTTAAAAATTTATCATAACAACTTGAACGTCGTTCCAAAAGATTAATCTACAATTATTTCCAATTATTATATTTCAAAATGTTCAAATTACTTTGAAAATTTATTGGCGGCAAAAGTTGTCTGCACATTACTTAAGTTATCAAATTGTAAAAAGTATTAATATTTTATTATTTATATACTTTTTCAAGCGAACAACCATAACGTGAACCAAAAGTTAGCTAAAAAATATTAATGAAAAACAAAATTTTTTTTAAAACTAATTGAACAATTCCGACAATCTTGAGACAAATCATTTTTGATTGTTGAACCCCCAGACCGGGTACAAAAGGGGGCAGGGAGGAGGTAAAAAATTTTCAGTTATTCAAATCTTTCAAAATCTGGTGTGTGGTTAATTAATTAAATTTTGTTTATTTTAGTTTTTTGAACATATAAATTAAAATAATTCCGGTTTATTCCTGTTTCGGTGGGTGACATTTTCAAAATTTTCAAGTTATTGACATTTTATGGTTATTTTTATTTACTTTATTACTATATTTCACAAAGAATCTTTAACATTTTTCTCTTTCACGGTCTGGTGAAGCCACTAGTCCCTCCATTGATAAATTGGAGGCTTCCAGTGACTGATTATGGGCTTCCGCTGATTGATTCTGGGCTTCTAGTGATTGATTAGAAGCCCCCGTTAATTAATTAGAGATCTTCACTAATTAATTAGTAAACTGAGTTTTGCTTTTCAGCAAAAATGGGATACGCGGAAATATCGCTTTATTGATTGAGTGATTGATTGGTCGAATTATGAAATTATTAACTGTAATATATCGTGCAAATGATTTTTTGTAAATTTGGAGAATAATATAAAAATATTTTATAATAGACGTTAAAAAAATCTATGGCCTTGCCAGAAGTTTAAAAGTTTTGGTTCTGATTGTTGGTTGTGCTGAATTGATGAATTGTGCACTTGCACATGCATCTACTTTCTATTTGTGTGTGATTTGATTAATATTTTGTCAGTCAGTCTTGAGCGTTTTTATATAATGATAATAAAAAGTAACAAAGTGCATTATACGAGAATACATACATTTTTAGAGATGAAGCAGGATGTACATAAAAGATCTAAAATATTAAATTCATAATTGCACTCTTTTTATTCTACATTTGATGAAATTTTTAAACAAAAAAATCCACGTGTTTTCAACGAAAAGGTTTTTGTAGATAATTTTTCCGTGCGAGAACGTATAGCCGGAAAATTTTAATGAAAAATATATAGTCGTAGAAAACTGTAGCCAGTTTTAACTATATACATATGTAAGATAAAATGTTAAATATAAAAATATTGGAGTTTGTTTGCGATCATGGATATAATGGTTATGACATAAAAATTAATACCTGCCTAATAATTTTTCTTAGTTCTATGGAATTAAACTCAGAAACATTAAAAACATTTCGTAGTAATTGATATTTTATTGATTTTTTTATGATTAAACGTCTTACTATCGTATTTTATTGTTAAACTTTAGACAAATTTTTTAATTAAATGTCAATAAATTGACAAAAAAAAGCAACAAGGACGATAATCGCTAAACAACCGGTTAAAAACTGATTCTTTACTTTAAATTAAATTCACTTTTAAACAAATATCGTGATTTTATGTAACAAATTTGTTAGATTGACCTTGATATTATATGTATGAACAATGTATATATATATATATATATATATATATATATATATATATATATATATATATATATATATATATATATATATATAACGCGTCTGCCATATTCATATTATATACCTATATATCAATAGTTGTCAGAGGTTAAAAAACGTATCAGTTAAATAACAACATCTTAACAAATGAGAAACTACAATTATAAAAACAGAATAATGAAATTCATAAAAATGTATCATAATGCTAACAAATATAAAGACAGAAAAGATTGAAATCAAATTAAAAGGATTTTTCATCAAGCAGACATTAATGTTTCTGTAAGTTCTGAATCCCATGCCCAAACGCTTTGTTAAACAGAATTTTTTTCAATTTTTTAAAAAGCAAAAATAAAGTTGAGCCAGCTTTTAGATTTTTGCAATACCAACACCTAAACGTGATCTAGACTGTTTTCATCCAACCATTGACCCTATCTAAATGACACCGCACTTAATGGACACAACTAAATGATGTTCTATTATCTCTTACGCAAATTATTTACCACGGCAATGAAAAGTTGAGAAATTTTTTCAAAAAGTCATGAGGAAAAATGTTTTGACATACCACACAAATTACAACACCTCATGGCAATGCGCTAGTTCCTACGTTGCTTGCCTGATGCCTACATGTTTGTATTCATATATTATATAAGCGGGTCGACGGATGTTTGTATGTGTGAATATTTGTTTACGTTTGTGATCGCTGTGGAGCCACGTCCAATGCAATGCTCACTTGTATAAAATTATTGTTGTCTGGAAAATATGAGTACTATTTTTGATTGTTTTGAAGATATTTAAAGAACGGATAAAATTTAAAAGTGTTTTTTATGTAACACCGCTGAATATCACTTGTTAAACTTTTGTGGATGCCCAAGCAGTCACGCATATGTTATAATATCATTATTTCAATTCATCATATTGACGTTATAAACTTAAATATTTCTTCACAAATATTTAATTATAACTTATTCAACATTTCATCAAATTATGAAATATATGCAGCACATACTATAAACAAACGTGAAACTCTTAATGTCGCAAAAATGTTAGTTAAAAACTTCGACAGTTCTGAGTGAAGCTTCAGAATAAAAATATGCTCCCTAACAAACAATACGAATCAATGCATATGCATATATACTCAGGAAGTTGAAAGTCGAATGCATGCAAAAATGAAGCAAACCTTCCACGGCGAACAACAGCGAGCCCTGTCCACCTTCTTTGATGATCAGCGAATCTTTTGAGAACTCAATGGCGTGCATGCAGTCGACCACCTCTCTTACCTGAAATGCGTCCAATTTTTGAAGTAGTTCGTTGTCTTGTATGGCCTTGTTCAACAGCTCCTTAGTGCTTTGAAAGCAATTAAATCAATAACTTGTCAAATCATTTGACAAAATATACATTTAAATATGTTGGATGGAAATGAACCGTGCTTGAAAATTGTGTTGAATTTCATAAACCACTGGCGGCATAATGATGGTGGGAATGGGAAAAAATTTTGAATTATTTCAAAATTTTCTTGAAAACAAAAATTATTGAAAAACTATTTGTCAAGATTCTCAAAGTTTTGAAATTTTTGAACATGGCTAGTGAAGCCTCGCAATACGGCAAATATTTTGATGCTTTAGAAGAAAAAAGTTGCAATCGAAAATTAGTTACAACTATAAATGCATAGACTGGTTTAATGAGATGGGTGAATTTGTACCGTAAGCTGTTGTAAGACAAAATTTGGGTTAATTTGTGTTCTACTGGAAAAACTTTTAAGCTAGGCACATGCTAAATTACAATTACGTTTAATATAAAAATGAGAATTTGCAAAGAAGATAGTGTATTATCAACAATGTTATAGAATTAATATATAATATAATTATGTGGTAGCAGCACAAACGGTTGTAGTATTAATATTGTAAAGTAGTAGTGGAAGCAGTAGTATTAGCGGCAGTGGCTGTAGAAGTATTTTAAACGTTGAAAATAAAGCTTTGCTAACCTCATGTCTTTTCCAACTCTAGTCATTATTTTACGACGATCGGCTGTTGTGGTGGGTTGAAACTCTGCTGACTCAGCCGAAACAGCCAATCTTTTAGTTTTCTTCAGTGGAACTTTGCGATTGCTTGAGTAAAAGACTCGTAAGTCATTAGCGCTGTCATCTTTGAACCAATTTTTATGCCAGTCGGTAAGCAAAGGCGTGGAGAGAACTGTTTGGCTTTTGGTCTCGGGAGGAACCGAGGTGGTTGAAGTAGATGAGCTGGCATTTTCTGCTGATAAAAAGTCTGTTGTTTTGACCACTGAAAGTTTTGGTTTTGACTGATGTTGGTAATTTTGAAGCTTTTCGTTTTCACTCACCAATTTAGCTATTCGATTATTTTTTATAATAAGTTCAGCTTGTAGTGTTTCTATTGTTCTATCTTTTATCAACAGTTCTTCAGTTTTTTTCTGAAGTAGTGTTTGAAGTTCGCTTAAAGTTGCCATTTCCGAAAAAAACTCTTTTTGATCCACAAAATTAGTTGTTAAATTAAAAATTTATAACAAAAAATTCTTTCGCTGTTAGTTTTTCAAGTAAAAACTCTTTATTTAAAAAAAAATCTGCGACAACGGAACAAATTTGTCGATGCGTTCATGTAACTAAGTGCACGGTCTTCATATCTTCATTGCCATATACAAGCGTACAAGTATAGGCGTTCAATCAAAGATGTATATGTATAGATTCGATTTTTACATTTTTGTGCAAAATAATTCATAGTTCATTTAGGTTTCAAGGCATATATGTATGTTTTGGAAATAATATCATATAAATAAAGAGATTAGACTTGGTTATGTAAGCAAAATGCGAATAAATTAACAAATAGACACACTTTATTTGGAAATATGACACACACACATATATAGCCTACACACGAAAATTTGAGTACAAAATGAATAATGTGTTTTTAAAACTTGTTTATTAAAAATTTTTATACTAAATGGTTTATAACAGAATTTTTTTCTTATTTAAGATATGCACCATAAATTTTACTGAATATGCATTATCAACTGAGTCAAATCATTTCCTTATGTCATTATACAATTTGATAATATCAAAACACTAAAACACTATTAAAACATCGTATTATGTATGCAAAATGGTTTGAAGATGTATAATATTGTGAAAATGAAAAATTATTTAGCTTTAATTTTTTAATTTTTTTAAAAGCTGAAATACATAAACACCTAAATTTTGATAATTTCAGACCATTTTTTTGAAAAACAAGTTTTACTACTCCGGTAACAATTGGCTGACAACATTTAAAAATGAGATGAAGAGTTTAGAATACTTCAAAAATTCAAAAAATTGCTTCTGCGGAAACTCAAAAGCTTTTCAGTTTTAAACAATGGGAGGCCTATTTACCAATATACAACACTTTCTTAAGAGTTGAAGCAGGGATATGCAAAGAACCTCAATTTTTTAACTTTTAAATATTTTCGGTAATGTCGATTTTATTTTTTAAATTTGTACCAAATAAAAGTATTTAATTACCACATTGAATAACAATTAAAAAAATTAAAATGTCAACATTTTAAATAAAAGCAATATTCCGTAATTAGTAAATATCAAGGGGAGGCCTATTTGCCAATATACAACACTTTCTTATGGGTTGAAGCAGGAATATGCAAAGAAATTCAATTTTTTAACTTTTAATTTTTTTCGGTAATTTCGATTTTATTTTTTTAAATTTATACCAAATAAAAGTAATTAATTACCACATTGAATAACAATTGAAAACAAATTCAAATTTTAACATTTTAAATTGAAGCAATATTTCGAAATAAGTAAATATACGATCGTAACTTTTGACTCGAACGATAAAAAATCACCCTCCAACTCCCCTCCTTCCGTTTTAAATATCATCAGCTCCAGAGGTGTTTTAGAGAAAAGTTTTGAAATGTTTGGAGACATTGATGTTGTTTTTATAGTATTTGATGACTTAATCATTGCAGCAAATGATAAAACAGAACATGATCAAATACTAAAAAAAGTTTTAGAAAGAGCTAGGATATTTAATGTTTATTTCAATAGCAAAAAACTACAAATGAAGGCTTCCAGCGCTAAATACTTGGGTCATAGAATATCAAAGAAAGGTGTAGCTTCAGATGAATACAAAGTCAAAGCTATCCTTTTTTTGCCAACACCAGTATGATAAAAAGAGTCCCCAGTGTTTTCTAGGATTGGTCACATACATGTCTAAGTTTATTCCATAATTCTCTACAGTTACGAAACCGTTGCGACGATTGCTGAAACAAAATGTTGACTGAATATGTAACAACCAACATAGTAAAGCCATTGAACAATTAAAGAAATCCATTACAACAGCTCCTGTGCTCAAATTTTTTGATACTAAAGCACAAGCATGCATCCAAACAGATGCTTCGTCAGCAGGAATAGGCTCAGTACTGTTACAAAATAGACATCCTATAGCTTATGCATCTCGAGCGATTAGTGAAACTGAAAAAAGACATGGACAGATAGAAAAAGAGCTTTTGGCCTTTGTTTTTGCATGTGAATAATTTTCTCAGTACATTTATGGAGCAAAAACACTCGTGTTTACTGACCACAAATCGTTTGAAAATACATTGTTAAAGTCACTGAATCAATCCTCGCTGAGATTGCAACGATTATTTTTAAGATTGTTAAAATTTAACATTGAACTGAAATACATACCAGGCAGCAAGATGCTCATAGCTGACGCACTTTCAAGGGCTTCTCTTAAACACAGTGATGCAGCAGACTTGGAAATGCAGGAAGACATTGAAGTCATGGTACGCACCATCTTCAACGACTTTCCAACTAGCATCATCAAGTTAGAGCAATTCAAAGTTGAAATACACTTTCAACACTCCTGTTGCGGATAAGAGACAGATTTCCTCTGATCATGAAGGACTACCTCTATAGTTGAAAATTTTTCAAAAAAATGCTTTTGACATTTATGAGCTTGATGGACTTTTATTTCATGAAAAAAAACTCATCGGGCCAAAATCTACGAGAAAAGAAATGTTGAGATTGTTACAAGAAGGTTATCTTGGAATTGACAAGACAAAAGCCATGGCATGCTCATGTTTGTACTGGACTGGTTTATCCCGTGACATTGAGGATATGATTAAAATGTGTTTTGTTTGCAATTCACATCGCAAAAAACAACAACCAGAGCCAATGGTACCACACGAAATCCCTCAGAAACCTTTGGCTAAAATTGGAGTTGATACTATCCAATTTGCAGGTAAAGGGTTAGAGGTTAGAGTTATATATATATATATATATATATATATATATATATATATATATATATATATATATATATTACAATATAAATTAAGTGTCAGGTTTCTTTATTGGCTGGTCATCTTCTTTGGTCTCCTTTTCTTCATCGATAGCATCATATTCTTCTTTGTCACTATTTACAATGCTAGTTTTTATTACTTCTTTGTTTTCGTTGTTGGTTAAGCGCCGGGTTGGAAGTGAGGTTGTCATTTTTTGTTGTATATTCATTTTTGGTTTATTGATGTCAATCAGAACTGCTTCTGCAATTTTTAGCTGACACCTAATTTCCATCTAAGTTCACTTTGACAAAGTCAATCTCCATCTATATTCATTTTGAAAAAGTCAATATTTCCTTATATAAACAGCATAAAGCACCGATGATGATTCATTCGGAATCGAAACATGGCCTTATTTGCAGCATGAATTTGGAAAATAAGTTTATTTTGAATTTTAATAAACTAAACGTTCACCAAAAAACTTTAGTGAGAAAAATTGAAAAAACGGACTACAAACATATTAACGCCAAATATTCGGTAGAATTTATAGAATATTGTAAAAACTATGGTCTATTACCAACATATATATATACAATACACACACACACACACAACACACACACATACACATACACACACACACATATATATGTATATATATATATATATATATATATATATATATATATATATATATATATATATATATATATATATATATCTGGACAAATATATATATTTGATAAAATTTATCCAATTTTTAACTTTTGAAAATTTACAGCTAAGATTTTCAATATTTCTAACGGTATCATATTATTTAATAATAATTATTATTATCTAATTTATTAAAATTAATAAGAAAATCTATGGTTTTCATGATGATAGTCTGAACCCTATATATATATATATATATATATATATATATATATATATAATACATACATGTATATCATAAATCGTGTGCTTTGCTTATTGTATATCCAACAGCTTTTTGGAGTGTTCTTCGAAACTACGGTATTCCATAAAAAATCTTCTTCTAAATAATGTATTTGACCAACAATATTGTTTTGGCAAAAAATTATTGAATGGATATGGATATTCTACAGAAACAAGAAACAATATAGCCGCAACTACATTTGAAACTGCTTTGATCGAGTGTACATGTTGTACACGTTATCGTGAAAGTTCATCATTTATTTCAATCATTATGAAGTCACTGGATGACACCAATCGTCATTGGTCTATTACAATTTAAGCCCCGGCTCTGTTTGCATTAATTAAAATTAAACACGTTTTTCAAATTTTCTAATTTCGGCAAAATTTTATCACTTTTTTTATAAAAACCTTCTTCAAAGTATTGGAAAAACGAACATAAAGCAAACAATAAAAGCGAACAAAAAAAAGTCGTTCTTAAGTTATGACATGAGTAAGAAAAATGAGGATTCTTTTGATCTAGTTTCATAGCCGCGGCAGGCTATAGTTTTTAGTGGCTTTTTAAATTCAATAATTATTGCTGATGCTGTTTTGAAAAATC